TGTTACTGAAAATCATCTTTAGATTCAGCAGCAGCTTGGACCCAAAGGACACTTAAGCTCCTGGATTGGTGGTATTTGTTATATTATTTCTTGCATGGACATTAGACTGAAAAATCACTTGAGCTTTGACAAGGAAAAAAGAAAATACAACCAGCACCAAAAAGTGAGATGTCAAAAAAAGACTGCAATTAGAAGTAAATACATTGGTGGGATTTTTTTAGTTATTATTTGCCAGTCATGTTACATTCCAGAAATCACAGTTAATATTAAATTTCTTTAACAGAGCAAGCCAGTCTAATGAAATTGTGTAGCAGCACCTTTCATTGTGTGAGGAAACCTCACCATAGGTCTTCCTTTCCCTAGAGTGGCAGTATTTTCACTCCCAGGTTTTTATTCAAGTGCAAAGATGTCTTTAAAAGTCATGGAGAAAACCTTTTATTGTCTTGCTAAAAGGAGAAAGCAGAAAGCTGATGGATTGCAGAGAAGCACAACCCAAAAATGAGTTAGCCATCAGTTCAGAAAGAAGCTCAGACCAGACCTGAGGTATGATTAAATGGTTAAAGCATGGAGACTGCAATGGAAATGATGACAAGTTAAACATTGAAAGAGCAGCATTAATATGAAGCTGTTTGGTAAAAGGGGTTGTAATCAATACAATTTGGATTTTATTACATCAGTATAAGGAATATTGCTGTCTCCCAGCACAGAGGGCTGTGTACTGACAAGCATTTAATCAGAAAAGGATGCTCACCTGTTAAACTGCCCATACTGCAAATAAAAAGGTGAAGTGATCCATGGAGGGAGGAACGTGGATATATAAGAAAAGTGAGGTTATATTTTGATTAAATGAATCAGTAAGGCTATGACTGTGACAATGTTGCCATTGTTTTTTGGTGTCTCTTCAAATCAATGCTGAAGAGGGTTTCAAAAGAATTTGAATTTCCTTACACCAGACACATGAGAAGTGTAAAAATGTTTGCTAGGGAGAAAGAAATTTTCCTGTCTCCTATCAACAGAGGGATAAAAAGTTTCAGTTCCAGACAGGTGAAGCATCAAAAATTGAAATTTTAATATTTTGTCAAAGAATTCCTTACCAGTATTTGAGTTAATCCTTCATCTCCTGTAGGAAAAGACATCCTGTCCTTAACAGATGCATGGAGAAAAGTCCTCTTGTAATATAAAAATCAGATTAGATTGGAATAACAGCAACTTCTGACCTGAAGTCGTGAGGATGAGCTGAAAGGAAGGAATAAATGACTGAATTAAGGATTTGAAGAATCAGAACATCTTTCCTCTTCCTTTCCCTGTTTCTTCCCAACGAGTAACTTCACACAAATTATCTGGGTGTCCCTGGGGATGGGCAGGGGGGAGCTCCAGCCTTTCCCTGTGCTCCTGAATTCCCCTTTCCTCCACAGCCACCGGCTTTTCTCACGCCACCACAACCTGGGGGAAGCCTGGGATGTTTATACACAGCCTTATTTATAATAACTCTTGTTTATTTTTGTACATACGGAAAATAATTTGTGTGTGAGCACATGCATATGATTTTTTTGTTGTTATTAGGAGTGGTTTTTAGTGGTTGGGGTGGTTTTCTGTTTTTATAAGCTCAGAGAAATGCCACAGATCAAAGAAAGGCGATCTGAAGAAAGGAGCCAAGTACAGAGACTCACTAATGCCTCTAAAATTCCACAGTAGTAGGACTAAGAAACCCACAGTTGTTTTATGAAGATCTCATCTGTTATTATTTTGTCAAAAATACACTTTACAAACACTGCCATGTCAATACTCAAAGTAGATGAATTTGAGCAATGAGTGTTTTGGCTCAGTGTTCAAAAGCTGTTATTCTTTATAATGCTTACAGAATTTCAGACCTTGAAGATCACTGAAGGGAATGGTTTGTGTTCCTCAGAGAAACACTAGAGAGCTCGTTTTTTTCCCAGGGCAGAAAACACTACTGTGTAAAGTTGGTTTATTGGGGTTGTTGTAGCCTGTTCCCTGTCTTTGCTTCCAAGAACCACCTCTGGAAAAAGCAGAATTGCAGGTTAAAGGTTGCCAGAGGACAGATTTGCTATCAGGCACTTCGGGGTTGTGCTTCAGCATTTATTTTGGATAAATTTCAGGGAAGGAAGTGAGTACAAGATTGATCTTGGCCTTTATAAATAGCACTACAGGCACCTCATATCACTTTCTGCATTGCCATGTCTTGAGTTACTTCGTTGCGCAGCAACACACACCAAAAATTGCATTTTCACATAAAATAGCAGGTCCTCTATTTATTCATTCCTTATTGTCATGTTACTTAATTGATTTAAACGTGCTGCTGTGGTTGTTTTTCACTCCCTACACTGCTTGTGTGGAAAATGACAGTGTTGGTTGTACTAATTCCCTGGAGATGTCAAAGGAAGAAGAATGATGTTCTCAAATGATGCATTTCAGTTACGCCAGTACAGTTCTACTCAATTAATAACCCTATTGTATACTGAAATATTTCAGATTCAGCCTAGGAGGTGCTTTGTGAAGTGTCAGAGAGTTCCAAGGAATACTGAAGCAAATGGAGTTTTCCTATCACAAAGACTGAATAACAAACAAAGTATTAGCCAGGCCATGTTCAAAAGTTTTGTAAAGATGAAAGGTTTTACACCTCTTCATTTTCCAAAACTTTACAGAAATAACCTTTTTCTCCTTCTTGCTCTCCTGTTGGCTCCATACAAAACATGTGCAGGATATTGGTTTTTCTCTGTCCCAATTCAAATTACCCCTTTTGAGTAATGCAGGGATGTGTTGGGGCTGGGGAACACAGGGCAGGAATAAAGAGATTTTTAGAGTCCTTGGTGCCAACAACAAAGCATTTTAGTCACCTTTAAAGCCTGGGGGGCAGAGTGGCTGCTGTTGATGTGCTGTGGGCTGGTGGGTTTGCCAGGGATGGAGAGTGGGATGAGGAGTGGGCTCAAGGAGCTGATGCTTCAGGCTGGGGTAGGGCTGGATTCTGCTTTCCCAAATCCATTTGCAAATCCACGTCTGTTGTGGCGTAGCCTTTTCCTTGGTTTGGAGCTCAGACTGAAGATAATTTTACTGCATGCAGCAAGATTGACAAAATAATTTTGCTGCACAGCACAGTAAGACTTAAAAAGTGCCTTTTCAAAAGTACAATAAACAAAGAAAAGATGTTTGTGTAGGAAAAAAAATGGAGGAATAATAGGAGTAGGGAAATTACTCCTGTTGCTTTAAGGTAGCTTTTATAAATAGGAGCAGTCAGTTAACGCTCCAGCCTTTACCACAGTAAACATAATTGTGAGCTGATTGTGGTGAATTCCTCAAACAACAGCCCCCATCAGCAGAAGTTTGAAGGAGAGAGCCCGACATCTGGAAGCCAGCAGCAGTCAGGATTTTATTAAGCAGCACTGCCAAATAAAATGCGAGCACTACTATAAAATGATATAAAAATAAAGATTGGCTATGGCGTAACATCTCCGAGATGCCAGCGAGCGCGCCCGGGTTTGGAGCTCTGTGTGAGAGCAGCAGAGCTTTCCCAGCAGCTTTGGAGCCTGAGGGGGACATGGTGGGTAGGGATGTGGCTTTCTGTGGTGCTTGTCATGTTCAGGAGCTGAAGCTCATAGAGTGGAATAAAGAGAGAAACTGTAAAATTGCTCTTAGCGTGCCTGAATTATTTTATTGGAAAGGTTTCGGCCACGTACAGTCTGTGTTGTGTATTAAAGACCTAAAGCAAGGTTTATGGAATATGATTTTCTGTCTGTGAAGGAGGGTATGAGAGAGTGACCTTATCACAGGGAGCAGGAACCTGCTCTCTTCCATGGGCTGCAACCTGACACATTTATTTCCAGCGCTCACGCTGTGGATGGAGCCAGTGGAATGGGTCAATGGCTGTGACAGCCGTGTCTGGCTGCACTGGGAGCCAAATCTCAGGGGCAGGGAGAGGATGCAGAGCTGACCCAGATGGGACCCAGCAGCCATCCCAGGAACCTGGGGCAGGGAGGGTTTGGGGCAGCATCCCCTGGGAATGTGGGCTCTGGCACCACAGGAAAACGAGCGCTTTGCCCTTCTCCATGCTGGTGCCCTCCACCCTTTTTTGGGGGACATTTGGTGTCCCTCTGTGCTGAACAGGACATTGCCCATCCAGGGGCAATCAAATGAACTCCTGTGAATTCAGAAAGCAGTGATTAAGAGCTCCTTCTCGGGCTTTGTGTCTAGAAATAGCCCAGAACACCACAGCGCAAAGTTCAAGGAAGTAAAAGAAGTGATATGTTAAATAAAATTCCAATCTTTCATTTTTTGAACAGGTTTTTGATACAGCTCAGCTTGATACAACCTGCTATTTACCAGCCTGGCCTTTAATATTGGATTTGCTTTCCAATTATGCTTCAATTCATACACCAGTTGCAGAGGGCGTGTGTGGGTGTACGTGCGAGAGAGGGAGATTGATTTTGTTCTTTAAAAATGTGAAGTCTGCACTAACTATGAAAACCCATCAGAATTTCTAGCACTTAAATGCCATTTCCTTCCTCAATGTGCTACCAGCACTAAGTAATGTTCACGACATCTCTCTGGCAAGTGAAGAAGTACATGCTGGTTTTTCAGAAGTAGAATATTAATACAGATATCAGTGAAAACCAGGCTGCAGATCCTTTGCAGAAGTAAAGAGTTAATGAGAAAGCTCAAATTATGACTTAGAAGCAAATACATAAGGTCTTAGCTGTGTTTTTCAGAAGTACATGAATGAAAATGGAATAAAGAGAGTACATGCTGCTGTGTGTCTGAGTCGCCTCTTGTGTCTGGAACAGCAGATTTGGGTAACCCTGTTTGCCACCACTTTGCACAGAACATATTTGTATTCCTGGTCATTTTTCCCAACCACCGTCTGTTTTTGTGTGCTCTGTTCCCAAGTCTTGGCAGTGCTTTGGTAGTCACTGTGTCTGAGAAGCCCAAAGGAGTGTTCTCTCTGTCTTTCTGTAGTTCTGACTGTTCATTTCTATTTCCTGTAGGTTTAAAGACCTATCTGATCTCAGGTCAGAAGGTGAAGGAGCCCCACTGCAGCTGTTCTCAAGCGTTGCTTCCTGGCTTGGAGTCCTCAGACGGAGCCAGAACACCGGGAACGTCGTCAGCCGAGAACTCCAGCGACCCAACCAAGACAACCAAACAGGTGGAAAAGCCCAAGGTGAGTTGTCCTCTCAAAGCCCAGCAGCATGGATCTCAAAGCAGAGATGGGAAAACCTTGTGGGCTTGTTTATGCACTGCTTTACATATTTACATATGTATGGATGTGTATACATGGAGTGACAAAACAGAGTTTGAGGGAGGAAAAATTTACCAAGTCAAATGCCTCACTCCCCATTTAGCAAACAATCCCTAAAATACAGTGAGCACTTTGCAAAGGTGATTTCAAATAAATATTTCTATTTGTTTCAGGACTGAGGTCAGTGATGCTTTTTCAATGGTCTGGATTTTATTGGGTGGGGGGGAAATATGATTTATGCAGCTACTGCAACTCCTGTGATTTTCTGCTCTTGCTGCTTCTGCTGTTCCTGTGTCATGAAGGTCATGTACCTGAGAGCCTTTTCATGATTATTCAACAGACATTCCTGCAAAAGATAATTGAATTGTTTCTGTGATGGGAGAAAATGCTCTGGTGGGCTGCGAGATGGGTTTATCTGCTTGCTCTAGAAACCTATATCTGGAGCTGAGGGCAATGATTTGTATGGATTCAGCCTGGAGGAATGATGACACTTTGTTATGTTCACACCTCTCACAAGATCTCTTGACAAGGAAATCTGTGAAACAATGTGTATTGCTTCAGAGCTTTGCTGTTACTCTCCATCTTCCATCTCAGAACAGATTTGCCAAACAACAGATGTCTATTCTCTCTTTTCATTTGTGCTAAGATTTCCTTCTCCTGGGCTGCTTAAGGTGGGCACAAAGTCAGAGCCAGGGGTGGCCATCTGCAGGTCCTTGTTCTTACACTTCAGTGTGGTCAGACCTGACTGGATCTCTTCAATGCAGGTTTGAGACTTGGCTGGCAGAGTTGATGTGAGGATAATTTTCATTTTGCTTCATTTTTACTGCTTCTCATTTTTTTTTGGATTAGAAGAGAGAGCATGAGTAGGGCACCTTTACCCTGCTTCTGCTCCCAGTTTTAAGATTTGAAGTAAAAACACTGGATTACAGGTGAGATGAGCTGGAGGGCTGACCCAAACAGATGGTCCGAAGTCGAGTGAGCTCCTTAGAGAGCAGGCCAGGCCTGTTTAGCTACAGGAGGGAGCTGTAGCCATCTTTATCTCTCCCCAAAATATGCGCTGAGTGTGGTTTGACAGCATCCAAGTTGCTGGTGGTATGTTTCTATTCCTTTTCCTGTGTAAGAAAGAATATATTTGGCATCCTGCTGGCACCAGTTTTCAGCTCCCTCTTGCCTTTCAGCGAAGGCAATGGCAAATAAGGCAGGAAAATACATCTTAGAGTTGGGGGGAGCTGTACAGATAAACCTGTGAGTGCTGCCCAGGGTGTGGTCGTGCAGAGGTCCAGGTGTGGCAGTGACAGCAACTCCTTCATTTCAAGCAAAGAAGGAAGAAGAATGTGCCAAGTGGAGCAGGATTGCTGAGCTGCCTGTGTGGAGCAGAAGGGAGAGAGGAGGGATGAAGCCAAGCAGTGAAGCTGTGGCTGCTGTTCTGAGAGACAGTGAGGATGCCTTGGGAATGCCAGACAGCAGAGGAGGCTGTGGCTGAGGACTGAAACTGCAGTGAGGGATGGGACTGACCCACCTGCAGCTGGGGCTTGATGGCACTGTTATGTACAAACTTGGGGTGCTGTTTGTTCAAGTGATCCAGGTGCAAAATGAAGTCTGTGGTTAAGGATCAGCTCTGTTAGGTGTTTTCTAACCTGTGGGGTGATTTACCTCGCACAGGGGCAGGTACAGCTGCACCACTCTTCTTGAGCAGCTGACGTGTGATGTGGAACACGTTGCTGTCCCACCACACTTTGTCTCTGATTTTCTGCCCTGGGACTATTGCTGGGTATTAATTTGCTGGGTATTAATTGCTATTTAGAATATCCTGAGCAGAAGGGATTCACAAGGATCATTGCAGTCCAGCTCCTGGTCCTTGAAATGTTTAATTGCTGAGTGAAAGTCTGTAGAGTGCTAAAGTAGCAGCATGGCTGAGAGTGAGAGGAGGAGATACTAAAAGCTGCTCAGAAGAGCATCTCAGACAAGTGCCAGCTCAGATTCAGCTGCCTTGGATACCCTGTTGTGCTACAGATACTGTGGAGTTTGTGTCTAGAGGTGCCTGGTTTTACTCATCACCCTCAGCACTGCAGCTCTGGCCAGGGATTTCCTAAGTGGCCTCAGAGCTGTGATTCCTGAGCCTGCCTTGCCCCAGTGCTCTGATGCTGCACTGAGTTCTGGATGAGCCCAAGCCCAGATTTCCCTGTGATCCCATGAGCATCCGGCTGGTGGATGCAGAAGCCGTGTCACAGTGGGGACCATGGAGCAGTTGTGTGAGCATTGGCTTAAAACCTGTTTTAAGGCTGTAGAGCACCCCCAGCTCTCCCAGCACAGGCAGGTCGAGGGATTCCTGACTCCACAGCTCGCTCTTGAGGGTAATGTGCACCTCTCTCTGCTGGGGAGATTCACTGAATCATGGAGTCATTTGGCTTGGAAGGACTTCAAAGCCCACCTGGTCCCACCCCCTGCCATGGGCAGGGACACCTTCCACTGTCCCAGGCTGCTCCAAGCCCTGTCCAGCCTGGCCTTGGACACTTCCAGGGATCCAGGGGCAGCCACAGCTTCTCTGGGCAAACCTGTGACAGTGTTTCACCACTCCCATTGTAAAAAATTTCTTCCTTATATCAAATCTAAATTGCCCCTCTTCTGCTTTAAGTATATATGTATATTAAAAAACCCCCACAAGGTACAACTGCAGTTTGATCACAGATCATGCACAGTTTTTGAAAAGGAGTGGGTTTCTTTTTTACAGCTTTTGGTTTTTTCGTGAGAGTTTTTTTTCAAGCCTGCAGCTTGCTGGTAGGGTCTGGAGATAATAATTTGCAAAAGAATCATGACTTACATGCCGACTGTTTTAAATACAAAGCTGTAAATGGTGTCAGTGTAGGAGGAGATGACTCCAGCTCTGCAAAAGAGACTTAAGTAGGAGAGGCAAAATTACAGGCAAGTTGAAATATTTTTATTTTAAAGGGAATAAGTGGCTATATTGGATGCAAGGGATGACTTTCACATTTTGGGCTTGAACGGATGTTCTAGAGGACAAGATCTGTAAAGGAAAGTCAGGAAGGGAGAGTGCAACAGTAACTGATCCATGAAAGGAATTGTATTTCCTCCTCTGGTGTATCTGTAGTTCATTTAACTCCAAACCTTGTTGCAGTTTGAATGTCAATAAGATGTGTTTACATTAATAAAATGGTGAACACAGAGGGTAGAAACTCTGAGTAAATCTATAATAGCAGGTGTTTTTTTGAATGAAAACACTCTACCCTGCCTAAGTGGTTTTGGTATCAGTTTATCTTCCCTATCATCTTTTATGACATGCCTCACTTGACAGGGAGTCATAAGCTGTTGTAAAAATGTTTTAATGATTGCTTGGTATGAAAACAGAAAGTCCTTTGCTTGTCTTGGTTTGCTGGAAGTGCATTAATGTTTTATTCATGGACTGAGGTCGCAGCACACGGAGTCTGTGAATGCCTGCAATAGAGAAGGAAGTTAATGATGTTGACTTGAACACATGGGGAAAGTCAGAGGAACTTCTGCCTCTTCTCAAAGGTCAGGCTGCTTTTCCAAGCCCTTTGTCTTCTGGCTTAACCCCAGGAGCCGAGTGTTGGAGGTGGTCTTGCTGATTTATTAGCAGGATCAAACAGGGAGTGGTTTCTTCATTTTCTGTTAGAGATAATTTGGTTTTTGTCACCATTACCTGACTTTTGCCATGGATAAATCTAAATCTAACTCCTAGAGGGTTAGTTAACAAGGCTTGTTAGCCCACTGCCAATTTATTTTTTAGGCCATCTAGTAATGCCTTCCACCAAGTCGCCAAGACTTTCATGATAGTTTGTCAGATTATTTTTAAACAAAACCATTTGAGAACCAAGTCTATAGTTTCTTCAGCTGTATTGGTATTTGTTCAGACTGCAGAGGTTCAGAACTGGATGTAAATTGCTTATTCCAATGCCAGGTTAAGAAAGTCAGAGTAATTTCAGTGCCCAGCCTGGACTGTGTCCCTGAGGAACAGCAGACAGGATGGTCTGCTGGCTGCTGAGGAAGCTCAAGGTCCTACATGAAAGCCTTTGGGAGGCACTGGTGAGTGGTTAGATGTCACAGGGAGAGTGAGCTGGGAGAAACATCTGAAAATTAAACATGCTGGGTATTTTCAGGTGGGACATCAAAAGTGGAAAAGGAGAATTAGGTGAAAAGTTAGTTCTGAAAAGAATTAAGATGCTGGTCTCTGAAATGGGGCATGAACCTGAAGGCTGAAGTTGTTGGTTTGGACTAGAGAGGCTTGAACATGTCCAGAACAAACAGACAAAATTAACATGGGATGTTGAGTTTGTGACAAAAGGCTCAAGTTCTTGCTGGAAAACTTGTTGTGATATTTAGTAGCAGACTTTGGCGAGCCTGGTCACAGTGAACATCTCCAGAACAGAGGAGCTGCCAAGAGGGCCCAGGCACAGGGTCCCTCTGAGCAGGATCCTGCCTGAACACTGCCAGCACTGGAGAAGAGAGTGAAGAACTTGGAAGATACAATTCCAGGATTCATTCCCCTAAAAAAGATGGCATTTTAACTTGAAGGAATTAGCTTGTTTTAAAAGCTCAAGTGCAATATTTTAGGTTGCTTCCAAAATGCACAACCTGGAACTAGTGGAAATCCTGATGGTTTTGCTTTCCTTGTTCCCTGTGACATTTGCTGCGTGTTTGGCTCCAACAATGTACGATAGCCTGAGCTCCCCTCTCTTTTCTTAGGGCTCTGTATGAAAAATCATTTTCCTTTATTCATTTCAGATTTGTAGCTTTCCATTTCCCTGGATTGTTCATAATTCATCATGGTGTTTCATTCTTTTTCTGGATTTTGCTGCATTTTCTGCTGTCTTCTCTTAATGGCATTCAGATCCCTATGCAGACAGGTTTCACACAGGAAAATTGCACTTCTCCTGCTACAGAGTGTTTTATTCCTCTTGGGGAGGTCCTTTGCCTGTGCACGGCGATTACACTGTATCTGTGATCTTACACTAGTGAAGCTTTCCTGGATTAGATTTAGCTTCAGCAAACAGCAAATCTGTGATTTATTTTTGAAATGGTGCATTCTGTTCCAGTCAAATTTTGTTCCCTGCCTCCCATTCTGTAGCTTTGTTTATCTTTGAACCGTGCTGCAAGTTTACAAGTGGACTGAATTACAAATTGCATCATACTACAAGGACACCAGAACATTCGTGGCTAAAATTCTTTTGTCTCATTTCAGCCTTGCCCTTCATGTAGTACCACCCTTGCTCCCCACTGCGATGTCAGCATAGATGAAGGAGCTATCCAAAATGGTTGTCAGGATGAGCATAAAAACAGTATGAAGGTAACTGAAGTATTTCTCACTTCCCTCTTTCCCTTATTTCTCTGCTTCCCTCAGCTTTCTTATTTTTGCACCACTGTTCCTTTATCCAAGCCATTAAGCAGCAGAACTGATTTTGATTTTTGAATTATGTTCAAAAATTTAGTTGAGTCCCCCTGCCCCAATTTTCAAAATTTTTAGTAATTCTATGAGCTCCACTTGTTCCAGAGAAGGACCTAAAATTTGGACTCTTTAAACTATGCTGATGGTACCCAAAGAGGGAGGCCCAATGAGCACTAGCACACTCTCCATCCTCACACCAGCGGGCTGTGTCACCTCACCACAAGTTCCGTGTCTTGCCAGTGTCTCCTGCATCACTGCTCTGACAGAGGTCATTCCTGTTCACACACAAAATTCACAGCTTTAAGTCAGTTTGTATGCTTTCCTGACTGACAGAAACAGCCTCTTTCATATTCCTCATGCTGCTGCCATGCTTGCTTTCCTTGCCTGTTGCTTAGATATTCTCACTGAAGCCACCTACTCCTGTGCCAGACACTGCCAGTTTTCTGTCCTGTTCATGGCCCTCGCAGCCCCTCTGCTCTGCCTGTGGCCTCTCACTGCTCCCTGAATGTTAAGCTAAATGCAGACTGAGGATCAGTGCTTATTAACTGCTTGTTACATATTCAAATAAATATAATGTTTTCCCTCCTTGAGGAGAATCACTCTGTAGATATGCTCTGAGACAGTGATCTTGTTCTTCATGTCTATCCTACAGCTCTTCTTGCCTGTAAGAAGCTGACTGAAAAACTTGCCAGCACTGTTGCCACTGCTGAGCCACTACATTAATCTGTGTTTGTCCTCTCTGTCTGTACTTGACCTGTTGTCTCATGCTTAAACTGTAAGCTCAGAAGCAGGGCCTGCCTTACAGGGCTGGAGGGGTGTGTTACACAGCAGTTCTGTGCCAGAGTTCCAGGAAACAGCCTAAGAAAAGAATAAAATCATGATCTCTTGAGCCCTGAGGGAGGTGTCAGCAGGGACTTGTCTCAAACCAGCATGAGATCTCTTAAGACAGAGAACATGTGGGAGATCTGCCTGGGCTGCCAAGATGGTAGGCAGGAGCTGCTTCTTCTCCAGGTGGCCCCTGCCCACGTGCAGGGATCTCCAAGAACCAACTGAAGAGGGATTGTCCTTAGCTACCAACTGCTTGGTTTAAGTTGCTTCCTACTGTAGCTGCATTGGCTTTGTGTGTGTGAATCAGCAAGTCATCTGACCTTCCCTGGAGGAGATTTGTATACAGAGCTGAGGAAGGGGTCTGTAATTCCACTGGAGGAATTCCAGTGGAGCCCAAGTCGCACATCCTTCTTGGGTTTGGTTCAGTTACTGCTCAGCCAAAAATGGGAAGAGTGTCATGGCCATCAGTCTGGGATGCTTGTTCAACTGAAAACTCAAAGAATAGCCACATGCACAAAGTTGCTGTGGCATTGGATTCCCAAGACTTCCTTGAAGCCTCAGGTCTCTTGGGAAGAAGAGCCAAAAGCCTCTACCCATCTCTGTTCCCTTCCCACACCCCATGCTGCACTCATGTCCCTGTCTTTAGGGAATGTTAATGATGTTTAATCATATCCTTGGACTTGAGTGGCTCCCAACAGCCTTTGGAGCTTCCTTGTCTTGATGAGAGGAAACTCCACACTGAGCCTCCAAGTTCCCAGGGAAACCCTACAGCCTGTTGCCTTCGGAAGTACCAGTAACATCGGAGCTAACAACATTTAATAAATAGGGATTTTTTTTCCTACACAAACAGTTTCATACTCTAATCCCTGCCTGTTGAGATTAACAGAGCACAGAGAAACCTTGAGCTGACTGAAGGGAAGAATTTTCTTGGGGATTTGAGCCTTTGCCAAGGAGCTAAAGAGAAAGTCCATGCTGACCTTCTGTGAAAGAGAGAAATTTTCAGTGCATTTTTCAGATGATCTTGAGGAATAGCAGGGAAAGCAGACGGTGCATAGGAGTCCAAATCTTGTATTTGAGCTGATCATAGCAAAAACTGTGGGTTTTTGTTTACTGCTTTTTAACAAGTGGAGTGGTGAGGAAGAGGAGAAAGATTGTTTCATACTATGACTTTCAGTTTTTCTTCAGGCCTCAGGTTGTTCTGGGAAATGCTCTGAGCAAATACAGTCCTTAGCATAAGTTAAAAAAAAACAACCCACCAAACAATGAAGGCTCTTCACTAAGAGCTGGTTGGTCAATTTATTTGGTTTCCCTTTGCTAGTCCTCCTCACCTCAAAACCAGAGGCGTTTACCCTGGCTCTGGAGGATGCTCCGTAGCCCTGTTCCCTCTGGGATGACCTGGCAGACATGTAGGAGGAGCTGCTCAATGTTTTTTCTCTTAGAAAAGAACCTGGTGACCTTTTTTATGTGAGAAGTTCGTGTGCCTCTGCCTTACAGGAGTGTCCCTCTGTCCTGGGGCTCTTGGTGTGCCCCTGCTGGGATCTGTGGCTGAAATCCCCTTTCCCCTCTGGTGATTATGGTCTGCAGCAAAGCATTGGCAGCACACCAAGGAAACCACCCCATTTCCTATTCCTTCCTCAGCTGCTGTCACTGTGCTGGGAGCACCTGCAAGCTGCCAAAACAACTGTTGGGAGGGCTAGAAGGGACCAGACTGGGAATCTTTCCATCTCCTGGCTCCCAGCACGTGGCTCTCGGGCTCACACCTCTGCTGGGGCAGCCCACAGGGTGGGGATCCCACATCCCCCTGGGAGGGAGGGAGGGAGGAAGGGGAAGCACAACCCACCTCCCTCCTGCTTTTCCTGTAGCTCCAGGGAACCATTCCAACACACCTTGTTATGGCTTTAGCTCTGGAGGTCGTGGCTGTGACAGGAGCCAAGCCCAAGTGCTTCCTGGCTCTTCCCTGTACAGGGTTCTCCTGCTGCCCCCTCAGTCTTTTATCTTCCTTGGCTGTGTCTGAACCTTTCCCTTCACCTGTGTTCACTTGCCTCCCTTGCTTCACAGGACAGATCACTCAAGGAAATGGAATTGATTTTGCATGGGCAGCCAGAAAGCAGATATTTTTTAACTTTAGCTAAGTTGATTTTACAATGTCAGTAACATATTTCAGCACATGGTTGGGGTGGTGATGATATTTATGGTATTTATTTATGGTCACTGTGATGACATCCAAGAATAGTCTTCTGGAGGAGCTTGTCACTTCTGTACAAGCTGGAATGGAGAAACTTCTGTCATGAGTGGGCTTCAGGATGAGGATAAATGCTACATGATAAGTGATAAGATATGGAGGGGGGAAGATGAACACTCAAGTATGCCAAGTTTGCTCTATGTTTGCATTTGAAAATGATCCTGACTAACTGCAGTTCGTTTTCATTCTAACCACACTTAGCTGTCTAATTCTTTTGGAATTGCTTCAGTACATACTGGTCTAGGTCAAACAAAATGTAAAAGAGGGAACTTCAGGCTCCATGAAAATAGAATGATTTTTATTTAAAAGTAATTTGTGTTCTCCAATGGCAGCAGCATTGGTGATACTGTGTACCTAAGCCATGTGGCAAGCTGTTGTCAGAATTAAAGCTTGATTAAGAGGAAGGCAAAAGAAAACCAGAAAAAAGAAGTATGTCTTAGAGAAGGAAATTAAGTTTAATTTGCAGGAGTTTTTGTTGTAGGATGAGATGTACAAAAGGGCTCTTCCCACAGGTGGGGGAGAGGGGGAACCTCTGGGAAAGCAGCAGACCCACAGTGGTCAGGGGAAGGATCAGCAAAGGCTGGCAGAGAGAGCTGTCCATTGACCCAGGGAGAGTCAGCACAGATTAAATGTGTATTTAAAAAGCTTTTTCAAAGAATCTTAACTGTAAGGTGAGTGAATGAAACTGGGGCTTGTGGTTGGTTGACACTGAGTGTGTGGAAATGCACTTTGTTTTCTGCTCCTTGGTGAGTTGGTTCATAAAAAACACAAAGGTGTCACCTAAACAGGCACATGGGAGGTGTGGGAGATACACCCACAGGAAATGGGGGTGGATTCAAGGCAAGGAGAGTTTGGTCTTTGTGGTCAGGGCAAGCTCAGGGTGCTGAGGGAAGAGCTTCTCTCAGGTTTTGCTCCTTACATCCTCTTCTGTCTGTTGTTAACCCTGGCATTCCCTGGGTGTGTTTTGCTCTCTGTTGTCCAGGCTCCAGGAGGACACAGTCCAAAGACTCAGAATGGACTTCTGAGTCCTCCCCAGGAGGAGAAGCTCAGCAACAGCCAAACCTCGCTGTATGAAATGCTGCAGGAGAAGGGGCGCTGGGGCGGAGTGAGCCTGGATCAGTCAGCTCTGCTCCCTCTGAGGTTCAAAAACATCAGAGAAAAGACAGATGCCCACTTTGTGGATGTGATTAAAGAAGACAGGTAAGGAGAACGGAGCTGTGCAGTGTAAAATCCTGTAAAGGTGAGAAGGCAGTACTGGGGTCCCATATCTTTAGTATTTGTGTGCTTTTGCCTGATTTCAGTGATTATTGTCAACATATAGCCCATTATAAGTTTCCTGATTTTAGTCTTTATTCTGCTTAAATGACAGTAAGAACTCGATATCAGAAGCTTTCTGTTTAAAATAAGTAAAGCCAGTTTTTCATTGCTTCCATGGTGAACAGTCCTCCTGTCAGTCCTCCTTCAGTCGAGTCTTCAAAAGGGAAATGGCTCTTTAAATTACTCATCACGCAGTTGAGCTCCATTTTATAATGCAAAGTCCTCTTAATGCATGTAGTGTGTACCTTCCTCTGCAATTTAAGGTGTGACATAAAATCTGAACCACAAAACTCAAATTTTTTTATAGTAAAAGAAAAACATCTGATAATATGTGACTAATCATGAAATCCTACTGGGCTTGGAAGCAGAATTAATAGGAGTGAATTCTCATGGCCTTACTATCTACTTAGATATTGGAAAACCACTTTCTCTGTTTCAAACAAAAATCTTATTTTGGGCAGAGGAAATACTCCTCAAAATTTAGCAGTGTGGGATTTTTATCAACACAACCGTATCTCCTTTATGGCAGTGACTTGACTGGAGCAGCTAAACAGGTAGCTTGAGTTTGTTATTATTTATGGCTATTTTTATTTTTGTTTCATTGTTTCCACTCAGATTTGAGGGTATTTTATCTACATATCCTTGAAACTGTGTTCTCTTATGGACTCAGCTGTTTGGAATAGGAACACCATCACTGTTATGGAAACATGGTTCAGGCAGGGAGAGGAGAGAGGGAGGGACAGGAGTCCCTCTCCAGTCTCTTACCTAGATTTTCTCAGTTTACCTTTCTCCTGTTGCCAATTTGAGTCAAAATTTAGGGTTCTTTATTGTTTTTCTTGGTGTGTGATCTGTCATTAGTGGCTGAGAATAAAGGTTTAGCTGATATTTCCAAATATTAGAAAATAAACAGTTTTAGAACTTCCAAAAGTTGGCAGAAATCAGCCAGAACAAATAGGAATATTGTTTAAAATGTAACCAGCACTCTGCAAACTCTAAGTTATAGAAGTAGCTTAATTTATGCAGTTGGTCTGCTGAAGATACCTCGCTCAAGTTCTTGTGTTTTCCTCCTCCGCTCCCAAAATGGGTAATTTTTTCTGATTTGGAAGGAGTACCATGATTTGAGATCAGTCAAAGCCTGGCTTTTTTTTTGGTCCCAATTAAATATCATCATTACCATATTAAGTGGGCCATTTCTTGTTGCCAAGGAAACTTCTCTGCTGAGTTCAGTTCATGTAAACATAACTTTCCAAAAATAATCTTCTGATTAATTAGATCTATGCAAAATGCTTTAAGCCTACCAGTTTACACTGATTTTTTTCAACATTTCTCAATGAGAAATTATATGGAATAAGCCATTTAAAAAATGTTCTTGGTCCCCTTCTGTAAAACAGAATTGTTGGTCTTGATGAATCCAGTATCTGTGAGGATCTTTGAATGAGGAATTTGAGGTGTCTCAGGGAGGAGACCCAACTTCCTCATGGCCATTTTACAGGAATCCCCATTTTCACTGAGTTTTGCTGTGTTGGTTTGATGCTGTTGCAAAGCCAAGTGATTTTCCCTAAGCACTAAGCAGTGATTTCCACTGCAGGTCACTTGGATATAAATTCCTGTTAACAGAAAATACTTAACCCAGGTATGGTGATAAAGCACATAAATTAATCCCACAGGCTTCCTGCAGAGCTGGGAAGGGTTAAACATATCCTGGGGGGATTCAGGAGCCTGGACACTGCATTAGGAAGCTGCCTGGAGCTAGCTGGGAGGAAATGCTTCACACTGGGGGTATTGAGCTCAGCTGTGTGGCTGGGAGTTTTTTGCATGCCAAGATTTCACCTTGGAGCTGATACCTCAGCACAATTCCAATGTTCTTTAAAAATAATATTAATAAAGACAGTATTAGTGTGGCGTGTTTGTATTAGTACATTATAAAAGGATCCTTTTATGAAAGTTTCCAGTTCTTACAGCTTGATTATCTGTATTTGACAAACAGTGAATACTTTCAGCTTCCAGTCTGCTTTTACTTCTGTAAAAATCCTGTGCCTTCTTCACTGTAACCTGTACATTACTGTGTTCTTTAAAAAAAAACCTGTAGTGTAAGAGTATAGAATGTTTGAGCTTTATTTCACTGGGAATATCCTCAAAGGATTTTTGGTTTGGGGATTTTTGTTTCCAGCAAAAATTAGGTATTCCTTAGGTTATAAACCTTCTGAAGTACAAGATGCAAATACTCGTGTGCTGACCAGGGCAGTACTCACAATGATCTCTTCAGACTTCCAGACCAGAATCTCAGGCATGTATGAAGCTCCCCCAGAACTGGGTTCTGTGCAGCCCTTCATCCCCTCCTTGGAGCAGTTTCTTGTTTAAATATTGTTTAAATACTTTTTCATTATTTTTAAATTTGTTTGTTTCTTTCATTTCCCCCTTCTCAGTCTTGCTTGATCCGGGGAACACCCTGTGCTGGGAGGCAGAGGCCTCCTGGAAAGCAGATTATGTACTTGACTGTTTCTTCAAGTGGGATCTTCCTTTTGGAGACAGAATGAGCTGACAGGGAGCTGAGAAGGGCCCGGGAGTGCTGCCTTCACCCTGGTTCCATCGTGTTCCACCTTCTGTTTCGTGCTGTACTGTGGAGCTGGACTGTCCCTCCTACATCCTTAACCAGCACAACAGCACCATCACCAACTCTGTTGAGCTTCCCTGCAGGAAGAAAGGGGATTCAACAGTACTTAAGGGGAAAAAACCCAAAATCTTCCAAATTTTTATTTTAAGATGCTCTTAGAAATGTCTAAGAAAGGTGAGGAATGAAGACAAGGAAGAATGAAAGAGAGAGGGGTGACTCAAGTGAAGGTATCCTGTCATTCCTTCAGACTATCCTGATATTTTTAATGTATTGGCCAAGGCCAGAGTGTTTAAAGGTTACCAAGTATCCACCATATTCATGCTTAGACTCCTTTGTCTTCTCTAGCATCAGTCTAGAAATGTGTGTTTGGTTGATCTTGCATCTCAGTTGGGAAAAAAAAAAAGCTTCCCACATGCCTTCTTGTGCTGGGAGCTTGTACTTCCAAGAAAACCTCTTAGGCAAGAGTTCCATAAAAATAAACAGAAAATAACCCCAAAACCAAACCCCCTTAAAAAAAGAATTCAGGCACAGACAAGCTCTGTAGGATCTTTCTTTCAGCTTCTTCATCTGCTTGGAATTTGACCTCATGTGCATCTCTGGTTTTTGCTCAGAGTCACCAGCTTGGAAATTGCCCGCTCTGACTGTGGCTGTGGTGCTGCAGTTCCCAGGGAGGGAACAGCACTGGGAAAGCAGCCACCCCATTTTAGATTGGGAGGGATTTTAGAAACAATTCCCTGTAAATAACATATGGAATCAGTTGCTCAGAAATGAGGTTCACAGGCAGGGAGGGGTGTGTTTGTAAGCTGCACACAGCAGTGTCCCAGCCACAAGTGCCACAAGCAGGTGTGACCTTGCTGTGTGACCCTGGGCACGAAGCACTCGGTGCTGTCGGGTCCCTTCAGCTCCCTGGCACCTGCTCAGGGGAGGAAAAGTTTGCAGATCAAGTGCCATCAGGAAACTTCATTCATAAACCTCGTACTGCTAATGCAAAACTCAAAAAGGTTTTATTTTTCTTCCAAAGGATGGGAAATAAAAGCAACTTTTTAATGATTGAAGCCTCTTTTATGTTGTTGTGGGGTTTTTTCACCTTCTGTGGAAAAGATGAAGGTGAAAGAGGGCATAAACACTCTCTGGCAGATACTGCTTCTGGGTTCCTTAGCCCTGATGTCATTAGTTGTCACTGCCTTTGTTGATGGTGCTGGTCATTCCAAATCTCCCATTTCAGAAGTAAATCTCAGCTCTCCATCTCTTCTCTGCAGCCTGGATCATTAAGGGAGTGTTCCCAGTTGAGTTACTGAGTTATTATAGTGTCTGAAATAACAAGAAACTGCTGTTTTCTAAAATGGGCAATGTTTTTTTTCCCCCCCATAACAATTTGTCACCTTTGTCATCCTTGGCTTGCTTTGAGCCATAGAATTCCACCCAAGACACAAATACCCCACAGCCACGTGTCTGCAGAAGTTCTGTGTCTGTAGCAGCAATTAACCTTTACTGTTTGCTGGCTTATGTTACAATTATCTGTACTCATCAGTTAGGTCTGTTAAATTTCTGGAAGGACTTGTTAGACTCTTCCTGGAAGTATAAAATTTTGCTGTTTTTTTGTGGAATATTTCCTTTGACTGAGCAAGTGATGTGGGTAAGAGGATACTTTGGTGATTGAGATAGAAGCAAAACCACAGGAACTTCAAAGCCAAGTGCCAGCATCCCTAGAAACAGCAGCCACAGACTGGGGAGGGGGCTGAAGGAGGTACAGCTGAACAAACTGATGTTGATTTTGTCTTCTTTCTTCAGCCTCATGAAAGATTACTTCTTTAAACCACCTATTAACAAGTTGAGCCTCAACTTTTTGGACCAGGATTTGGAGATGGCCTACAGGACAAGCTACCAGGAAGAGGTGTGTTTCTACTGGCATTGGTTTCTGTCTGTAATCTGTCTAAGTCACTGTCTGTCCTTGGGTTTTTTAACACATTTTGTTTCAGTTGTTTCATGACAAGGGTCATGAAATGTCAAATGTGATTTGCTACTTGATATTGCTGCCTCTGAAAACAGTCTCCTTTCAGTTTATTATAGAATTATGGAATGGTTTGGGTTGGAAAGGACCCTAAAGCCCATCTCATTCTGGGCCATGGGCAGGGACACCTTCCACTATCCCAGGCTGTTCCAAGCCCTGTTCAGCCTGGCCTTGGACATTTCCAGGGGCAGCCACAGCTTCTCTGTGCACCCTGTGCCAGGGCCTCCAATAGAAGAATTGGAGGGAAGAATTCCTTCCAATATCCCATCTAACCCTGCCCTCTGGCACTGGGAAGCCATTCCCCTTGTCCTGTTAACTCAGGCCATCGTCCCAAGTCCCTCTCCAGCTCTCCTTGAGCCCCTTTTGGCACTGGAAGGGCTGTGAAGTGTCCCAAAATTCTCTCCTCCAGGCTGAACACCCCCAGCATTCCAAGCCTGACATCAGAGCAGAGGAGTTCCAGCCCTTGGAGCATCCTTTGCCATGCCCTGAGTCTAGTCCAGTGTTTGGGCTGGAACTCTGAGGTACACTGATCACTTCTCACCTGTCTTTCCTCCATGTTCAGGTTAATGTTTTAAGTCTTTAGGGTGGCCAGAGAACTATGCTGAGATGGTAAGGACCATCACTTACCAAAGTAAAGGACCAATTGCTGCTTGTCTTCTCATAAAATATTCTAACTTTGAGAATGGTAACTTGGAATTTGATTCTTGTTTAGTCACAGTCTCATGGTTATCCCTGTGGAATCCAAACCTGTGCTGAATTCAAATGTCCTGATTCCATACATGTGCTGCATTCAAGTACAGGCAGCTCAAAACACTGGAATTGTAAGGAGCAGTAAATTGTAAGGAACTCTTCAAGGTTTTCTTCAGGATTCTGCACTGAGTCTAAAAACTCCTTAATTCCCTTGGGGTCTAATAATATCACAGGCTTTCCACAACACTGTGTTTCCCTGCCTGTCTGATAGGAACTAGCAAGATGGTTTAAATTTATCTAGAGTGACATTAGGTGTCAGTTAGAACTGAGGCTGCATTTCCACCAGTAGCTGAAAAATTGCTGCCAAGAAAAAGCAATTGCTCTGCCCTCCCTCCTTGTTCCTCCTCCTCCCTGCTCCTTCTAATGGCTCTGGTGCTTCTCAGCCTTCCCTGCTGTGAGCAGTTCATTTACTGGCCTAGCATGAAATATTCATGGTTTGTTTTTCTGTTTGGGGTTCTTTCTCTTTCCATCTCGGGCTGTTTTGTGCTGTGTTGAAGCAGCAGCAGCTCTGGAGAGGTTGGCAAGTGCCAGAGCCAGCAGGAGATAAGCGTCCGGCAGCAGGAAGGGGAATGGGCCCTTCCCTTCCAGCAGCACTGAGCTGTTGATTTGGGTGATCCCTCTGCAGAACTGCACCAGGATAAATTAGGTATGGGTTTCTTTTCTTCTTCTCTGTCCTGCATCTGAGGGCAGCAGGATTTCTGCTCCTGCTGCTTGTTCCTTTCAGTTCTGGGCAATGTTGTCACATTCTCCTTAGCAATATTTGTTTGTTTTCCAATATTTCCAGGTGACACCTAATTACATTTATTTTATTTTACCAAAGGAAAGCCCAGTTGTGTTGCAGTTCAGTCTCTTCACTTTGGTCAGGAGCTCTGTGCTCATCCTGCAGCACTGTAATTTAGTGGTATCTCTGCATAAAGTTCCTGTAGCAACAACAGGGAGAAACTTGCTGTGGTATGCAGCCTGCAAAATTTGCAAACTGTACAGAAAATAGTACATCAGGTAGTTTCCAGTGGAAAGAGAAGCAAAGCAGAGGTAGTAAAGCACATACAGATGGACCTATTAATGTGGCTATTTGGGAAATTCCTGGAAAGAGCAGGAATGTGGCCTGTGCATTTTGTTAGTGGCAAGCTAATAATTTGAAAATTACTACCTCCTTGAAAGTGGGAATTTTCACTCTCTAATAGTAACTCCACAGCACTGGGGCAAAAACCTCTTGAAGCTTTAATGTTAGCAGAGTTCTGGTTCAAAACAACAGTGAAATCTTTTAGAGAGTGGAAAGATTTGACAACAGTTGAAGTTCTCTAACGGCCTGACATTCATTGCTGCTGAAAGTGACTTCACTTTCTGAATTCACCCCTGAATTCACCTCTGATTATGCAGAGCCAGCTGCATGCTCAGGTTGTGATCCCTCTCAGGAATTAGCTCTACTTCCCAAGAGCCTTAATCATTTGGAAATGAAGGCACTACTTAACACTGTTGGAGCATCTTTAACTCTGTCACTTGGGGATCCAGTGCTGCTTCCCTTAATTCAATTGATGGGACTTCATGTGTGGATGAACAGGTTTCTGCTACCCCATCAGGTTAAAAGGTAATTTTGGCACTGAAGTGATGCTGGCTGGATTTCTTAGGTTGCAGGGAAGTACAAATGAGGAACAAGTTTGTTTCCCAGTATTGCTGAGCACAGAAGTGTTCTGAGGAGCAAAAGAAACTTTCAATCAAACCAGAGCCCTCCAGCTGGGCTCCTTCATGGTGACATTGATAACATAATATCTGGTTTTCTTTGGAACTTGTTTTCTATGGTGTATCTCTTGGGCAGATACAAACACTCCAAGGACTGGGCTCACCTTCATAAGCCAGGATGTGGAGCTCAAAATCTGGTTTTCAGCAGGACTGGCCACGGTAGCACAAAGCACAGCTGCACAAGCACTGGCCAGGATGGGATGGGAGTGTGTGGTCAGGAGTTATGAAGAGCAGAATTTGGTATCCTGGGCTCTGATCAATTTGGATTACACAGGTTTTAATCTGGTCTGAAAGGGAGATGTGGATTCTGCCACAGGAGCTGTGTCTGTGGAGTGGTGTTAGGAGGGTTTTCTTAACCATCAGTGCTAAAAAGGTTATGGTAAAATCTGTTACTATTTTAAATTAAAATAATAGAAGAAAATATCCCATAACTTATCTTCTACTTATTATATTTATGTTTCTTTGCACAGAACAGGCAATTTTCATGTTGTTTTTTTTCTGTGTCATAATAGTGTGTAAAAATCACCCCGGGCCTGGGGGCTGTGTCACCAATACTTCTTTTCAACACAATCTGCTCAGGGAGCTGTGACAGCCATCAGTTCACCTCTTCTGCTTCTTGTTTCCAACCAGTGCTTTCACTGGATTAATGAAGAAAATTTCTTCATTCCTTTATTTGTTAGGAGCTGCTGTTCATCATCCGGTTGAATTCGGCAAAATAGCATTTATTCCTTTTCATCCCTTCCCTCAATCCCTGTGTTCCACACAGGTTATAAGGAATGCTCCAGTGAAGACATTTGCCAGTGCTACCTTCAGCTCACTCCTGGACGTGTTCCTGTCCACCACAGTCTTCCTCATCCTCTCCATCACCTGTTTCCTGAAGCACGGAATGGTCGCGTCCCCTCCGCCACCTGCGGCCGTCGTGGTGTTTGTCATCGCCATCCTGCTGGAAGTGCTGTCCCTTGTCATCTCCATCAGGTAAAGAAAGTGTAACAAAGTCTGCAGATAGCAGGGAGAGCTGCAGTGGTGCCTGGCTCAGGAACATTTTGTTTGACAGCATCCCAGGGACTCGCTTGGAGGGGCTGTAACACTTGGAGAACGGAGTCAGTGCAGCCAAGGCTCGTGGCACAGCTTGTGCAGGGAGAGCTCTGGCTACAGGAATTGCAGCAGAATTATGACTCTGATAGAATGGAAAATGTAATCTGCACCCCATCCATGCCCCTCTAACTGTTCCTCGGGGTGCCACGTGCCACTGTATGTCTTCTCTCCTCACAGGACCATCAGAATTCAAACAGAAGACTTTTATCTGCCTGCAAACAAACCCACCCAAAAAAACGCTTCTTTAAATTCCAAGATAAGAGTACAGAGTTCTGGGGTTAAAACCAACATCATGTATCAGAGCTGCAAAGAGCAGTGCTCCCCTCAAAGAAAGAAAGAAGAGAAATTGCTAAAGGCACATTGTGTCTGTCCAGATTTATTTCTTTTTTTAAAATGGGTTAACATTGAGGTAGTTGATGTTTTCTGTGTCTGACATATAACAGGAGTCCAGTGTTTCCCCAGAAGGGAAGGGACACTGTTTTGTCTCTGCAGAGACAAAAGGGGTGGCACTTGGCAGGGTCGTGCTCAGAGGTGCCAACCCCACACCTGAGCCCTTGTCCTGCCCCTCAGGCTCTGCACTTGGCTGCAGGTGCCTGGTTTTTAACAGCAGCTCCTCATTCCCCCTTTGTGCCCAGGGCTGGGCTGTTCTGGGCTTCCAGGAGCTGCTGTGTAACTCCCCCAGCCCTGGGGTCACTCACACGCTCACGGGGAGCAAAGAGCACTTTGTTCCTGCAGCTCTGCTCTCCTGGGTGTGCTGGGTGATCTACACAGATACCCCGTGTAAGCTGTCATTAACCCAGCTAATCAAGCTGTTAATGAGATGTTTGTTTGTCTGGACTGTGGGAGGGGTTCACTCTGCCCTCCTCATCCCTGCATTTGCTGCATTTCCCTGACACAACAGCAGGATGAGGGTGGTGTGTGCAAATGGGTGTCCTCTCCTGGAATCCTGTAGATCTGTCAGGAATGTGTCAATCAGAATGCTTCTGTAATTATGAGCTGGAAGCAATTTCTGCTGCTGTTTCAAAAGAATCAAGAGATTGCAGTTGGCACTGTTATTTTGACTTTGCAGGATCGAGGTAAAAAATACTGAATTAATGCTTTAGTCACTGAAGGAGGTTTGTACCTTACTGGGCATATAAATGTGTGCAAGTGGATTTACATCAAAGCTGGCATGTGGAGTAGAGAGAAGCCATCTATGAAATACTTTTAAAGATAGCATTTCTTAGCAGGGGTGTTTGGCTGTTGCAATTGAAATAGTTTTTAGAAAGTCTAAAAATTCAGAGTTAAAAGCTGTACTGATGGTTGAACTGGTAGAGTTGTCATTCAAAACTGTGTAAATTGTTGCTCCGTCCTCTCTCTTGCATCAAAAATGCATTTTCCCCTTTGCAGAAGTTCCTGCACTCTGGTTTGGGTGGGGCAGAAGTTTTTCAAGCAGTTTAATGTGCCCTGGCTGTTCTTTCAGCTGGTCTGGGTTTGGTGGCTGTGAACTTGTTCAGCTGGGAACAGCTCAACCACCACTTTCCAGAAATGCTGCTTTCTGCTGTCCAGGTGTATTTGGAGAAAATTTGTGTTCACTCACTTTACAGGTGAATTCTTACTTCAGTTTAGTATTTTTCAATTTGTTGTTTTTCCCACTTGTTTTCCCCATAGGACATTGCTTTTGCCTTATTTTGTACATTTATAAAAATTATTGCTATAATCTCAGAAATATTTATAGGTAGATAAATAAGGTTTTATTGCAGTCCTGCTCTATAACTGGTGGTTTATGGGTTCCTTAAGGAGAAGGGAAATTGTTGTTTTCAGTCTATATAGTCAAAAGTTGGCAAAGTGATTTTGTCTGTGAGTTTGGCTTCACTGCAGCTCTGTGCTGTCAACCTGACCAGTGATCCCAAGACCCCTCAAATTGTCCTGGTTACCTTGGGAACCAGGAATGGCTGGATGGGGTAAGTGACCACTGCCTTTCCCTCTCTTCTTCTTCTAACCAGCAGAGATGTTTTGAATTTATTTTGTAATAAAATACATTTCTGGGCCACCCTAGTCTCCATAACCTGAGGCACACACTCTGTACAGTTCCTTTGGGCAGGGAGGTGAAAATTATCTTTTTCCTCTTCAAATCCTCTTCCAAGTGAGGACTGCTCCCTCTGATCACTCATTATGCACAGAAACAGTGCAGAACTTCCTGTGCAGAAATGTCATCCCAAATGACAATCACAGAATACCACCGAGATATCTTTGGGGAGGAGACTGGACTACAATGCTGGGCACAATCCCAGAATTTCAGGAAAAAGGATTATTTTAAGACCAGAAAATTCTTGACTAAGTTTCACATTGTATTTTCATTATCATGATGCTAAGCACCCTGCCTTTAAATCAGCTAAATTGTAATTAAACCCAGGACTCAGCCTAGCAAGGGCTCCCTTGGTTCTTGTGGCTCAGCCCTCAGTCCAGCTGTGGGAGGGGAGAGCACAGCACTGGCACAGCCTGGGCAGTGAGAAACAACTTCAAACTCGACCTCTGCAACAGCAAAAGTCCTCATGGAGCAAAGCTTACGAGGGAGAGAGATGTTTTGATTCCTCTGAAGTGTCTGATAATAAATTATTGGAGTACCTATAGATGAGGATCCCACTGTTAGCTCAAGAGCCACTCCAAGATTAATTGTATAAAGCTGCGTGCAAAAATTGGTGCTTCATTGGTGAGCATGTGGAAGATGTCATCTCCTCTGTAAATGTTCTCTGAAGAATGTCCTTCTGCCTGCTTGAAACGTGGCTACTTAGACAAGCTCAGCTGAAGAGTGAGAGGTGCTGAAGTTCTGGTATTTTAAAAAAAATTGTCATTAAATGTACAACAACGTGTGAGATTCCACTTGGGAGTCTGAGGAGAGGCTCTGCAGGAATAGGGGTTAGAGATTCTGCCCAATATTTAGTATAAATATAGAAGTTCTGTTCACTAGATAATTTTGACATCTTGTCCTCGAATAAAACTGCTTATAAATAAGTTTATTTACAAAAAATGTGTTGCTTTTGATAGGGTGCTTCAGGGAAGGCTTGTGGGTGAAGGGTTGAAGGCAGAAGAGCAGGTGTTTAGCCCTGCTCAAGAGAGTGAGAGGTGGGAGCACTTTCAGTTGATTCAGGAATTTAAATGGACCTTTCTAGACAGCAAAAAAGAATTACCTGGATGAAGAGAGCGAGTGCAGTCCAACAGTAGAAGGGAAATTTCGCTGTTGTCTGACCAGAGAAATGCCCTTTTCCTGGTGCTTTGCCTTCCCTGCCTTGCTCTCACATCCCTTCTGTCCTCAGCCAAGACCTGTGGCCAAAACTGGATCTTCCTAAATGGATTCCTCATGACCAGGAGCACAAATTGTTTTCTGCCCCTTGAGCTTAATGAACCAGATCTGTTAACATGACTGATACAGAGTATTGATGCTGGGGAAAACAATGTAGTCTGTTTGCCTTTATTTATTTCTGACATCTGGTATTTAATATCCCACCAAATTGCTGCCGTGCCAAAAGCTTTTGATTTGAACTCTGGGAATTGATTTTAAACTGCCAGTAAATACAGAAATGTTGGTAACAGTCTCCATCAGCCATTAATCATTTATGTCAAAGTTACTAATTTGAACTCCAGCTTGTGTAAACAGCTCAGATGCTTTAGCATTTAAGCCCTGTTGAGCTGCCCACTGACACTGCATTATTTACTGATACTGCCCTGTAGCTATTAAATCTGTCTGCAGCTCTCACTGCTGTCTGGATTTAATGCACCCCTGACTTCCTGTGCTGGGAGCGTTGGATTCACTCTCAAGGAGAATTCTGTAGTTTAATTCCAGAGCACAGAGCCCCACGATAAATCCCATCCCAAAAAAATCAGTGCAAGAGGGTGAAGATTATCAGGGGAAACGTGGCATTGCCCTGGAATTTGCACCTGCCTTTTTGAGACACACAGCTGCCTAAACACAGCGGCGTCCTCGTGGTGGGATTAACCCGGCGGGTTCGCCCGTGGATTTGTTGCTGTAGTTCCAAGAGGAATTTGTCCTGGCATGGAGGCTTGGCAGGGAGGAGGATGCAAAGAGTGGAGTCCCCGTGTGTGGGTTGGGGTGAGAGACACGAGCTGAGCCGGGGTCTGTGCCAGGGAGCCGCGCAGAAGCACCAGGCGTGGGCACAGGTGGCACCAGGCTGCCTTCACAGGGAGCCCTGGGCCTGGCATTCCTTCCCCTTCCCCTTCCCTTTCCCTTTCCCTTTCCCCTTCCCCTTCCCCTTCTCTCAGCTCAATCCCAATCCCAATTCCAGCCCATTTCTGTTGGACAGCGGGGTTTTATTTTCAGAGATGGGGAGTTGGGTGGTGATTCCAGATGTACTCAGTGCTGGACAATGGGGCTGCCACTGAGCACAGGGGCAGTTCTGACAGTCTGTAACCCTTCAGAAACCCCAGTTCTTACTCTAAAGAGCTTTTTTTTTTTTAAAATCTTTTTTATCCCGTTTTTAAATTTTTGTGCTTTGCTGGAATTTCTGTTTACCGATGGAATACAGTTAGAATTTTTGGTGTGAATGGAAGTCCATTAAACTCTGGGAACTGGCAAATCTGTGAGCACCCTCTCGTGGACTCCCGATGAATTACAGTGTATTCCATCCTCCCAAATTCCTCTTCTTCCATGAATTTAACACATACAATTAGAGAAGAGTTTTTATGCTTCACAAAATACTTGTGGTTGCAAGTCAAAGAATTCCAGACCAGAGAATTAAAATCTCATTCACAAACAATTTATATTTAAAGGTGTGGAATGAGTGTCAAACTGGTATAAAGAACTTGAAATTCAACATGATTTATCTCAGGCTTTTATGCAATATAAAACCTTGTATTTCAGACAACAGGGTTAAAAATGAGTGGATATCTTTTCTCTTTTTAGAGATATGGGTGATACGGGGTAATTTATGTGATTTTGGAGAATTTCCTATTTAGTGTATGGTTTTTGGGGATTTTTTTTTGGCTGTGAGCATCTCTGTCCAAAAAAAAAAAAAAAGCTGTAATTCTGTACTGTTTGGGCTCTATAGTCCAGAATTACCTGCCCAGCCTGAGTCTGATAACTCCACACATGCCATTAATGGCTCTGGATACAGCTAACTCTGCTACACCACCTTTTTACAGCTTCTTAAAAATAATTAGGCACTTGAACAGCAGTTGCAATTTTTCTCAAGTGACTCACGTTGAGCTTTGAGAAGGAAGTTATCCCAAGGATTTATTTCTGTGGATAAATACTAGTTTTCTGTGCAATGCCCTTGAGCATTGAGCATCCTTTTACCTTCCCTTACTCATTTTAGCAATTAGAGCTGCTCTCATTTGAGAAGCATCTCCGGTAAGCTGCTCTCCAGAGCTCTTCCAGTTGGCTCCTTCAGCTCTTCACAGGTTGGGGCCGTGGTTTTCTCGGCAGCTCGAGGCGAGAGCCGTTCCTCCCCGCGTGGCTGGTGGGATCCAGCTGGGTGTGCGGTGCCAGCTGGCCTCCCGAGGCTCAGCTCCTCCAGCTCAGCTCCTCCAGCTCAGCTCCTCCAGCTCAGCTCCTCCAGCTCAGCTCCTGCCAGGCTGCCAGCTCACAGCCCACGCTCCCCTTCCCCTTCCCTAATGACAGGGAACGGAGCCTGCCTGCAGACTGGCTGCTTGCAACTGGGAGAACTGGTTTGGGTTGCAGTGTGATGGGTGCTGGAGCTGCCCTGCTCCTCAAACATTCCTGGTGTTATTTTCAGTAACTTTAACTTGTAAAAAGTTTCCTCTCTCCCTGCCTGATTTATTTATGAATGGAGAGGAGTCTTCCCTCTGCTTTAACCTTCCAAGGAAGTGAAGTTTGCCTTTCAATTTGTTTCCTCAAAGCCACCATGCCGAGGCTCTCCCTCCCTTTGCTGCCCCTCCTCACCGGAGCAAACCTGGCAGCCAAGCTGGATTATTCCCTGGAATCACCAGCAGGTGCTGTGGCACCTTTGGTTGCTCCCAGAGCCTAAGTGATGGATTTGAAGCTGTATTATTACAGGTAAATGAGAGGTGCAAGGAGATGTGCTGCCATTAATGCCTGGGTCCCTGCTTTGCTGTGTTCCAGGATGGCGTTCTTCCTGGAGGAGGTGATGACTTGCACCAAGCGTCTCCTGGAGGTGATATCTGGCTGGCTGCCTCGACACTTCTTCGGTGCAATCCTGGTTTCTCTCCCAGCTCTTGCAGTTTTTTCACACTTCACCTCTGATTTTGAAACAAATATACATGTAAGTTGTTGAATTCCGTTCCATAATGTGATGGTTTGGAGCTAGCAAAGCTTGTTGCTTGCCTGCCTTCCTCCACCTCCCTCCTGCTTTACATCTGTTTGATACAGATCCCTTGGAGGGATGGGGCTTTGTGGACGATGGAATTCCTGGTCTGTTATGTAAACACAGTCACAGTGAAAAACTCTCAGACAAAAGGAGAGAGGATACCTAGAAATTCTTGCTGCCTGCATACTTTTTTCCTCTTAGACCAAGCACTTCTGCAGGATTTTTTTTTAGATAATGCAAATGGTTTTATCTCAGGATTATCATCCTGGGCTGGATTTGGAGTTTGGAGTCAGAGAAGCTGTATCAGTGAACCTCAACAGTGAGAACAGGATTAGTGAGGGATGTTTTGGCTTTGCAGAGTGAGATAAAGGAACTCAAAGGAGAGAGCTCTTAGTACCTAGAAATGGCCATTGCAGTGGCTGTGGGAATGGTTAAAGGAATGCCTTCTGAAAAGAACTGGGAATAAATTGGCATATTTAACCCAGACACAGAGATTCGTAGGGAATTTGGTGTCTCTGCAATTAAAAGCACTCAGAAGGGGAGAACAAGGGGTTAAACATTCATAGAACCACAGAATGGTTTGGGTTGGAAGGCACCTCTTGTTCCAACCCCCTGCCATGGGTAGCAGTGAGGAGGGGGAAGAACAGTTTAATTTAAAGGCAAACTGTAGCTTAAAATCAAGGCTTAAAAACTGAATAAAATGGCCTCAAGCTGGAGATGAAAGATTGTTTCTCTGCAGGTTTTTTCTTAGGCAGCACAGTGTGCGATCCTTCCTTTCCAGGATCTTCAGGGAATTGTGTTTCACAAAGCTCTTGCTATTTCAGGGCCCTGGGTGTAGGTAATGACCAGATCCTCTTCACTCTTCCTATCACAGCTTATTCCTGGCTACTGAGAAGCGTTTGTTCCATGGGAACGTGTGACCACACATTTTTTGGTCCTTGCTGATTTAAACACGCATCCCGTGGTTATCGCAGTCACAGGAGGGTGTGGTTTACATTCTGTTCCATCCCATGCTTAAGATCATTCTGCAGCTTTTACCTTTTGGAATTTTAGTTAAGAATTTTTAAGCTCTAAATTGATTTGTTTCTTTGTTCAGTCTAATGATCTTTCCCCTGCATGATTATCAGTAAACTAACCATAGGAATGTTTTCCTTAAGAGGAAGGGAGCTGAAAACCTTCAAATCTCTCAAATCTGTCAAATTGATTTTGATGCCATCCCATTCATCACCATCCTTGATCATCTCTCCAAATGTTTCAGATAATATCAGAAGAACCACTTTATGAGTGTGTTCTCAATACAGCAGGTCAGGTTGAGTCGAAACACTTCAGGCAGCAGCACTAAAATGGTGATTTTCATCATCAAACTGAGAATGAACTTTCCTTTCTTTCCTCTTGCAGGTGCTCCAGAGTTGTGGGGCTGTTGGCTCCCTCTCCAAGAGATGTCCCAACTCGGCTTGTGCTCAGTGTTTCCACACTCATGGAGCTCTAGGAAATGGAGTCAATCTATAGAGGGTCAGGTAAGTGTCCTCCTTTACTATGACATGGTTTTGCAAAGTTTTTTTTTATTCATAGCATTTTATACCCTCCCTGGATATAAAATAATTAAAATGAAAATGAACAAAAACAGCCATGAAAAAAAAAACTTTCCAAAGCCATGCATCCATAGTAAAATCCAGCACATCCTGACCCTCTATAGGCTGGCTTCATGCTGGGGCATCACTTGGAGTGAGAACCAGTGCTCTGCCACTTTAGGAGACCTGAAATGGGGGGAAAAAAGTAAGTTAAAGCTATAGGGTTTTTTATGGACACTTCTGAAATTTCTTTTATTCGTTTTTAAGTCATTTAAAACACCAACAATTGTTTGTGGTTTAAAAATGGTGAATTATGTAAGGATTTTTTCCCATACACTGTGTCTGCTCTCAATCACATGCTTGTTTGTTATGCCACAGGACTGCCAGGCTGCAGAGTCTGCGCTTCAGCTGCACAGGACACCTCAAGGGAGAGAGAAAAGGGAGAGAATGATCATTTCATGCTGTAAAACACAGCATAAAGCTAGACCAGAGCTCCTTAATCCAAGTATGGAGTCTCTGGTTTAGCTTGGATGGTCATGAATATTCTTGGGAAACCAAAACTGGCACATCATTGGCACACTTGAGAGTTTTGAGCACTGTAAGGTTGTACCTGGGGAACTGAAGGTGCTCTGGGCAGTGCATCTGTCCTGCACTTCCTTTCCTTTATCCAGGAAAGTTATGGAGAGGCAAAGGTGTTTTGAGATGAGGCATTTGGAACAGAAAATGTCAACTTGTCCTTTTAAATTGCCACAAGTGGTCATGTTACCAGGTGTGAGCTGGCAGTGACTGAAGCTGCCTTTTGGCAGATCTTTCCTTACCTGGATCCAGCTGTTCCAGGGCAGTGTGAGACGTTCTCTGGGAAGTTTTTAAAAGCAGGCAGGTGGGTGACACTGCACTCTGCATTTCCAATGCAATGGAATTTCCATATTCAGTTTAAAGCAGGCAGGATCTAACCTCAGCAGTGGAGAGGGGGTTGCCATGAATTTTCACCTTCTTTTTTTTCCCTTTTTTTGGATGAGGAGAGACACTGAGCTTTTGGCCAAGGTAAGCTGGAGGCTCTGGACATCGCTGAAATAACGAGTGTGTGATAAAAAACTCCATCCAGGGAAAATGGTGACAAACCACCAGTGCTAAAAGCTTTCTTGCTCCTGGAAGGGAAGGTGTCCATCTTCACATGGGATCACTCCCTGTTCCCATCATCCAGGTGGAATTATCCCCCTTTCCCTGCCGGCGTGGCTGTGTGGCAGGGCCCTGGGCAGCTGTTAACCCCCCCTCTCTCTCTCTGTTGCAGTACACCATGTTCATGTGTTGTGCCATTCTCATCACCATTGTGCAGTACTGTAACTTCTGCCAGCTCAGCTCCTGGATGAGATCCCTGCTGGCAACCGTGGTGGGAGCAGTGCTGCTCATCCTGCTCTACGTCTCCTTGTGCCCCACCAGGTGAGCAGGGAAACACAGCTGGGCTTCTCCCCAGGGAAACAAGGGGCTGATGCACAGGATTTTGCTGTCTGCCATGATTTTCTCCAGCATCTCAACTTTAATGATTTTATTTCTTCATTATTTATTTTTTTGAAGGATTTCAGGGGCCCCTCCTCTGTGTGACACTCTGTGCTTCCTGATGTGTGTCTAGGACACAGTTACAGAGCCACAGAATTGCATTTCACCGCTAGTTTGAAAATCTGTTTTATTAAGGAATTTCCCAGGTATTTGGTGGTGCCAGAGAGCCCAACTGCTCCCCAACACCCCTCTGGATTTATTTTTGCCCTTAGGAATCACTTATTCTTCCACCTCCTTCCTCAATGCATTTTCCAGTGTGGAAGGCAGGTGTTTAGGTTTAATGGGATCTAATACCCAGTTCCATTCTCAGTTTCCTACATTTTCAGAGGACTCTGCAGAACAGTATCCAGAGGAATCAAGATAATGCAGTTTCTGTGCAATAACCTTAAATTTTTCCAGTTTTCCTCTGATAAACGATTTTCTGCAAGGAGAATTTGTTTGCAGTATTCTCCTGATGTTTTCTTGCCAAGAGAGTCAAGGGGGGCCCTTCCAGCCTTCTTCTCTTATTGGCAAAATTTTGTAATCAACTTGCATTTCTCAGTGGTTTGAGACCCTCCCTTGGGATGGACTTAGCAAGGTCTTCTCAATCAGTCAGTTCTCTCCTTCAGAGGCCTGCTGAATCATAAGGTGAAAAAAATGAAAAAAAACACCAAACAAACCAAAAAGAGTTTGCAGATCCATATTTTAGTGAGTATTTAGCTTTAATTGCCTCTTTGAGTGTCTTCTGTGGTCTCTTTTAATCTTGATTAAACTTACCTTGAATAAAAAGAGAGAATAAAAGTCACCTCTTACACCTGTTCACATCTATGATTTGAGGTGGCTTTAAGGGTTCAGGGAGAAAGTCTTGGGAAAAAGCTGGAGACAGTTGACAAATAATTTCTAGATCATATTGACTAGAGAAAAACTCCTCTCTTGTCTGTCTGCAAAGGACTTGGACATGGAGGGAAGAGGAATTCTCTCCAGCTTCAGTGCAGAAAATGAGTGTTTGGTTCTGAAGCCTCCCTTGTCTCCTCATGGATTTGTCCTGTTGGGTTCAGGATCCCAGTGATCATCACTTATCCCCCAGCACTGAGTGACTCCCAGTCACAAAGACTTTTTCTCCGTGGCTTTTCCCTTTGTTCCCTGGTGCTTTCACTGGCCAGCCACAGCTTCACTGAGAATCATGGAATCACAGAATCCTTGAGATTAGAAAAGCCCCGTGAGACCATCGAGTCCAGCTGTTCCCCCAGCACTGCCAAGGCCACCACTGCCCCATGTCCCCAAGTGCCACATCCACAGGACTTTTACATCCCCCTAGGGTGGGGACTCCAGGGCTTTTGATTTTTTTTTCCTTAATATCCATCTAAAGCTCCCCTGGCACCATTTGAGGCTGTTTCCTCTTGTGCTGTCACTTGGTTCCTTGGGAGCAGAGCCCGACCCCCACCAGGCTCCAAACTTAACCCCAGGTTTGGTTTTCCAGGGGAATTAGTGAAGAGCAGACCCTTGATGACATGTCTTCATTTCCTGGTTGCTCTTCCCTAATTGCCCCCAGCAGGAGTTCCTGGAGCTCCTTCCCTTCCCCAGTGCAGCTGTGTCTGCCTGGAGCTCCCTGGGGGTTCCTGCAGAGCCTGGCAGCAGGAGGTGATGGTGGAATTCACTCCTGGACAAGCTCTCAGTGTTGAGACTGTGCAGAAAGAAAGACAGAACTGGGCATATTCCCTGCATTTCAACTTTATTAAGGGATTGGGAATGGCTCTTCCAAAGCTGAGAGGTGGAGATGTTGCCGTTGTGTCAGGTCTCAGCATCAGCTCTTGCTGAGTGCTAAAGGGGCTCTGTGAATGTTTAGAAACCCCATTATCTTAATAAATGTTACTAATGATGGTGTATTTCCACCTGTGGTGTGAACAGCAGTGACCATTAATGGGCAAGCTTCAGAAATGATGGAATATGTTGTTATTTCATCCCTCAAAAATAAATATTCCAAGTAAGAGAGCTGTTCAACTGCAGGTCTGAAAATGTGATTGATAGAATTGATCCTGAACAAAAGTCACACAGGTACACAGGTTTATTCACTTCAATTTGTTAATAATCATCTTTTTGTTCATCTCTGACTGTGATTCTGATAATATTTTTTGTCACAGTGGCAATTGCTGCCCTGTCTGCACCACAGACTGATCCATTCTGCAGTTTTACTTCCTTTTCCAATTGTAACTAATCCTGAGAGTTTGATACTCTCTTGCTCCTTGATTGCAGCAGAGAAATTGTAATACAAGTAAATATGAAAAATGCTTGAACTATTTATTTTCTCTAATGGCATCTTCAGAAATGGGTTCTGTGTTTGTTGAGGATTTGGATTTGTTTTTTTTTTGGTTTTGGGTGGTTTGGGTTTTTGTTTGTTTTGTTGTTTTTGGTTTTGGGGTATTTTTTGTTTTGGTTTTTGTTTGGAGATGTTGGGGTTTGTCTCTTTGTGTTTTGTTTTTAAAATCTTTGTGCTGTGTGCTTACATAAGGTGAAAGCATAATGGAGCCTTAAGAGTTCTGGGATTGCTTTTCCCTATTTTCCAGGTAAGATGGGATTGTTTTAACAATTACTTGTTCCAGGCATCACAAAATTCCAGTTTGCCTTTACAGGGATTTGCATTTCTGGCTGCTTCCTTCTTCCAAGCAGATAAGTCATGTTCAGACAGAGTTTGTGTGCAGTTGATCAGGTCTGCAGTGCAGTTATTGGTCTGTGCAATAGAGAAGTTGAAAATTCTGTCTGGAATGATGCAGGAAAGTTTGTTTATTGCTTTAACTTTCCCTCTGAAATCAGTGCTTTTTTCATTTCAGCTCCATGGAAGCTCCTCATCTAGATTTGGCACAGAACTTTAGGTAAGCTTTATATAAAATTACCATCTTTATATTTAGGGATAGAAACATTTTCAGTGAATTACATGTAGCAAAACTTTGCATCCACAGTAATAACTTGGGAATTCAGCAAATTGGTTCAGGAAGTTGTATTTAAGCTCCTCATGTAATTTCCTTTACAGATGATTTGGGTATGACCAAAACCCATCAGGGCTGGTGCTGCAATCACAGAGTTGTGTAATGATATTTTCTCCTTAAATTGGATTTCAAGGAAGTAGAACTATGGAGGAGCTATTTAAAACAGCATCTGTTTTTCCAGTAGCAGCAGTTTTTAGAGCATTATCTGTCTACCACGAGCTGTTTCTTTGATTTCCTTGGCTGATTTGCACCATTCAGAAGCAGTGTGAGCTGGATGCTCTCACAGCTGGGCAGGTGAGAATTCCCAGGTAGAGAGGAGCTTCCTCTGGAAAAGCTGGATGTGCAGCCAGCTGCCTTCCCAGGATGGGATGTGACAGTCTGGGCCTGGCTGTCACCTTGCCTGGCCAGAGCAGGGAGTCATAAAACTCAGAGCAAAGGAAATTTCAGCCTCCAGTCTTTCAAAACAAACAAAAATCCTTTCCTGGGTTATTAATGACCCCTTAAAATGCACATGTTAAAGATTCACTCTGGTGATTTCAGTGTTGAGTTTCTCATGGGTTTACTGCAAGTTTTTGCAATACTATTTTGAAGTGTTTTTAGTGGTATTAGACAAGTCTGTGTTTGCTCGTTGCAGATTTGGGGACAATATTTGGGCCACGTTGGGTTTGATGGAACTGTGGATGTGTAACTTCAGTAATGCATCTAAAATGGATTTTCAGGAGCATGTTGCTTGTCCTGGGAGGATGTGTCAAAACAAAATTCCTTTTTAATAGCTCTCATCTCCACAGGTGCTGTGGTAATTCAGAAGACACTTGGGGTTTAGTACAGAGACAGGGGTTCTTTGGGGATTTCTTCACCAAGGACTAAGCAGTGTTGGGGTTTGGGGGGCTCTGGCTTTTCTCACATGGGTTTTCCTTTTTCCTGGTTTTGATTAATGAAAGTTCATTTTTGTAACAGAATTCCAGTTCATTGAATCCAGAATGGAAATTTAAAGCCAGAAGAATGAAGGGGGCATCTTTTTTTTTTATTTATTTATTTTTTTAACATTAGTGTGGTGATCACTCCAGTGGTGTCTTAGGATCAGCCTTAGTTTGGATCCTTATTTTCATTTGTGAAGCTTTTGTGCTGCTCAGAATTACAAACCTCTTCCTCAGCAGGTTCTTGGCCAGCTGCTAATCACTGATCAATAATTCATCCTGCCTTAAATTGTTGACAACTGGCTCTTCCCCTCAGTGACATAAATCTGTGAAAAGATCACCTGTCAAGCATTGTTTTCCTGCAGATATTTTTTTTCCATAAATATGTAACTTCTAACTCATGACAGGTAAAGATGAGAGTTGCTGAGGTCCAAACCATGGAGGTGTCTCTTGTGAGCAGCTGTGGAGTGAGGCTTTGCCTCCTTTACAAGGCTTGCCTTGTGATCTAAAGGCCAAGTAAAGCAGTGACCAAAATATGTCACCAATTAAACATTCCTAAACTTCATTTTCCACTTTTATTGTGATGGTGTCTGTGCTTGTTCAGCTGAGGAAAGACACGTGCTAATTCTGCTCAGCACTGCCCCTCAGTCCAGCTCCCCTGGCCTGACCCTGCCCAAACTTGTACATTAACAAGTATTGGAAGTTAAAAGAGAGAACTGGGAGTTAATCCTATTCTCTTTCTGCCATTAAACAGATTTTGGCTTCTTTTTTTTTATGCTGTATATTATTGTATACCACATTTCTAGAGTACAGAATGAACCCTTTTTTCTGGTAATGGATTAATAAAAGGTGAAACTCTCTTAGCCTAACAAAAATTTTTGCTACACCTTTCTGCCAGATTTAAATAAATTAGGTTCCTTGCTTACCCCACTCAGCACTAAAGTTTTACTGTGTTCTAAGAGAGCTAGGTAAGCTTGTGTGTTGCCTATAATGAGGTTGTTGCCTTTCCTTGATCAAGAATAGAGATAATATTAATGTTGCCTGGGAAGAGAGACAGTAATGGTAATGAAGCCTTAGCACAGAGTTCATCTCTGGACTGTCTGTAAATAAAAATGTGGAGTTTGCCTTGTTTTCCAGGCAGCCCAGTTCTTCAACCCAAAGAATACAACCATGAACTTTGTCTTTTAAGCAGAAAATATTTCTCATTGTCATTCCTTCCTCACCTCAGAGCAGGTGGGATGTGCCACTTTCCAGTGTGGCTGCTCAAGGGGGAACAGCAGTCGGCCACAGAGTGGAGGCTGAAGTCACCTCCTTGTAGGGAGGGATTTATAGGCATCCACTGCACGTTCTTCATGGAAAGCAGCAGCTTGAACCCCTTTTCCACACCTTTCCTCTCTTGCATTCTTCTCTCAGATTCAGCAGGCAGAGGCATCCTCTTTCAATATAGCAAGATACCCAAATCCAAACAGGGGTTACTGGCTCAGAAGCAAACTGGCTTTCCAGCAAGCTCTGTAAGTGGAAAGCCATTATCTTTATGATTTGTGATCAAGCCAAAGGAGATTCTATCTCTGGAGTCTCACTTGTTCCATGTTCACAGCCTGGATGGAGGTGCCAAGTTAATAGTGAGGGGGCTGTGCCAGGCAGCATTTCACCAGTTAAAGAAACATTGTCAGCTCAAGATTTCAATTTGAATGATTTTTAAAATCAGTTTTCTGCTGCAGCACCTCATAAAAAGTAGAATTGAGAAAGATTGGGCAGGGGGGTCAATCCTTTCTGCTGGAGGTGTACGGGAGTTTTCCTTCTTTTCATTCCAAAAGGTGACTCCAGGTCATGGCTGCTGCCTGGGAGAGGTGATTTACAGCCCTGTGGGTCCTGTATCCTGGTCACTGCAACATCCCCAGGCTGCATTTCCAAGTGAGGGCCATCTCCTTTGGGCTGGAATCAGGGCTTTCCATACTGACACACAGAGGGATAAAAACCCCTGCTCTGGGGAAGCCACTGCAGGTTCTTTTTGGGATCCCAGCCCATTCTCCATTTGTGGAAGGAGGTCAGTGCACAGGGAGTGCAGATCTCAGGGCCGGAGCCCACGTGGCCAACGAGGCCAGGCCAGGCTGAGCAGATCACGGAGAGCTCCGAGGTGCCAGCGCTGCAGGAGTGGGGAGTGGGAGGCAGCAGCTCCATCCCTGAAGGCAGATCCTGCCTTCCACTTCCTGATGAACATTTGTGGTGCTCACCTCATTTACTGGAGAGGACTTAAAGTACTTTGAGGAGTGTTTTGTACAGCAAACTGTAAATAAAAAGCCTTTAATGACTTAAATCTCTGTGGCAGGAATGTCTGATATTAGAGGGGATTATCTGGATAAAACTTGTACTCTCAGAGCAGTAACAGAGTCATTGCTCTGATCCTTTCACAGATCTCTGCCTACAAGATGTGTGAAATAATGAACTCAGATTCAGAGAAGGACCTAGAACCTGAATTGTGCTCCTTAATCCAGATTCCTTCCTCACTTTTCCCCCACCTCGTCTTACTTCCCAAGATCTTTTCTCTTACCTACCATCCCCTCATTTTGTTTTATAAGCCCATCAAGCAGGGGAGACCATTTTGTCACCTCCAAAATAGGTAGCAAGGATTATATTTCAGGAATTGTTCCCTTCTAGTCATTAATTATGGAATCCTTTAGGCTGAAAAAGACCTCCAAGATCAGAGGATCAGAGACTATTCTGAGTTGACAGGGACCAACGAGGATCATCAAGTCCAACCATTAACCCAGACAAGGCCACCACTAAACCGTGTCTTTGTCTCTGATTTGTCTTTCAAGGGAGGATATAAACAGGTTCATCACAGAGGTTCTGTTGAGAATCAGGGAGGGAGGGGGGTCTTGGTACAGCAATTACAGGGACCTCATGGTGGGACCCTACTTTGAGTTGGGACATCTCCTGCTTTCATGGTCCCCTTATGAAGAGGGAGTAAAATGAATACACCTTTACTTCTCCTGAGAGAAGTATATTTATGGTAGAAAACAAAAGAAGTCATTTCCAATGTAGTCTGTCCTATCTTTCGTCTGCAATTCAACCTGCACACTCTGTATTGTAAATATTTCACTCGCCATTCTTTCCCCATAGGATTTCTGTAAAAAGTGAATGGATACAAAGACTGGCACAGAGAAATGGTTTTGGATACGAGGCTCGTTCATCTGTCTCACAGCTGTGCTGTGGTTTTGTTTCATCACACTTTTCTGTCAGTCAAGTATTTGAGAATGAAAGAAGAAGAAACTGTGCTTGTAATAAAGTTCAGTTCTAAAATATATCCAGAGTGAAAGCCTGTCCCCCATGGGCATGAAGCAACAAAATTAACTCAGCCATTTTTTCATATGTTACAGTAACAAATTCAAACTTCTCTCCTGGAGCTGTTGCTCCAGTTGTGCTGAGTTTTAATCCCTTCCTGCCTTCCCAGAGAAATGCAGGCAGGTGCTGAGTATGGATTCCTTTCTGGCTCTTCAAGAGAAAGGTTGATGTGATGCTTTCCTTTTTCAAACCATCTCTTAACTTAAAAAACTTAAGCGCGTGTCTGCTCATATCAAATCTCAAGCTTTGCCATAATTTTATCCAAAAAATGCAGTTGGATCCCTGCATACATGACTGTGTGCCAAGCTTCTGGGATTGCATAGGTGGGGCCTTCTCAGATTCAATTTGTGTCTTTGAATCTCTGCAGAAAGTTGAGATTGGAGAGTGCAGATGTCTCCTCGTTCAGGGTGGTTTGGCACTGGCAGATGCTCCATCAGCGCCTCATAATCTGCACAGGCAGGCAGTGAACTGTCGAAAGGATCTGAAATATTGCTCCCAATCTATGGCAGACAGGAATTTTTGATTATTTTATGTAATCTTGGCACTTGGAGAAACTTTCTGTCTCTGCCATGAAGAGCTGAAGTGGTTTTATCATAGAAAAGATCTCCAAGAGAGGAAGATGCTCCCCACTTTCATGCAGTTCATAACCACGGACTGGGTGGGGTCACAAGGACCTTAAAGCTGATCCAGTTCCAGCCCCCTGCCACAGGGGTTCTCCATGACGTGTCTTTTACAGGGTTATCTCCTCCCAAACCCTTTGTGTGCAGCATTAAAGGCACATGGCAAAGGTCCTTGGTGAGGACACAAGGGAAAGGCACAGGACTGTAAAAGCAGCTGGTTCTGAATACTGGAGGTAATAAAAAATACAAAACAAGATAAATTCCACAAAACTCATACAGATATTCAGTGCACTCAGATACCTAAACACACACACAGGTACATAAAAATACTAAAAGCAGTGCTTTTAGTTGTATATTAATATATATAATATGATATATTTAGATATAATGATAACTGCTTCCTTGGTGAAGTCCTTAAAACAGGATTGGGCTGTGCCACTGAACATGATGATAAAGAAATACTCAGTGGGTTTAAGGGAGTACTCAGTGAGATTAAGAATTAAATTAATTCTTTGGAGTTTTCTTAACAGCAGATGAAGTTCTCAATGTGTATTTTACAATTTAGTGTGTAACTGTACTTCCCACACTTCCTTTTCCAGCAGAGGATTTCTAACTGTGGGGATGGCAGTGCCCTAACCTAAAATGCACCTGTGTGCTCTCCCCTTTGTGCAGCTCCAGAAAGAGCCCGTGCAACAGCTCGGTGCCGAGCGACGCGAAGCGTCCGGCGGAGCTGATCGGCCAGGAGGTGGTTCTGGTGTCCTTCCTGCTGCTCCTGCTCGTCTGGTTCCTGAACCGCGAGTTCGAGGTCAGTTACCGGCTGCACTACCACGGGGACGTGGAGGCCGACCTGCACCGCACCAAGATCCAGAGCATGAGGGATCAGGCTGACTGGCTGCTGAGGAATATCATCCCCTACCACGTGGCCGAGCAGCTGAAGGTGTCCCAGAGCTATTCCAAAAACCACGACAGCGGCGGGGTGATCTTTGCCAGCATCGTGAACTTCAGCGAGTTCTACGAGGAGAACTACGAGGGTGGCAAGGAGTGTTACCGAGTCCTGAACGAGCTCATCGGGGACTTTGACGAGCTGCTGAGCAAACCCCACTACAGCAGCATCGAGAAGATCAAAACCATCGGGGCCACCTACATGGCGGCGTCGGGGCTGAACACCTCGCAGTGCCAGGACAGCAGCCATCCCCACGGGCACCTGCAGACCCTTTTTGAATTTGCCAAAGAAATGATGCGGGTGGTGGATGACTTCAACAACAACATGCTGTGGTTTAACTTTAAACTCCGGATCGGCTTTAACCACGGCCCCCTCACGGCCGGGGTCATCGGCACCACCAAGCTGTTGTATGACATTTGGGGGGACACTGTGAACATCGCGAGCAGGATGGACACCACCGGCGTCGAGTGCCGCATCCAGGTGAGTGAGGAGAGCTACCGCATCCTCAACAAGATGGGGTATGACTTTGACTACAGGGGGACGGTCAATGTGAAGGGGAAGGGTCAGATGAAGACCTACCTTTACCCCAAGTGCATGGACAACGGGATCGTGCCGCATCACCAGTTGTCCATATCTCCAGACATTCGGGTTCAAGTGGATGGCAGCATTGGGCGGTCTCCGACGGATGAGATTGCCAACCTGGTGCCTTCTGTACAGAATTCTGATAAGATTGCCCATGGCACAGATAACTCAGAGGCCAAGGACATCCTTCCTTCCGCCAAGAAGCTCCAGAAAGACGCGGCGAAGGCAGAGGAGAGGTGCAGGTTTGGCAAAGCCGTGGAGAAGGATGACTGTGAGGAAGCAGGGACTGAGGAGGTCAATGAACTGACAAAGCTAAATATCTCTAAGAGTGTATGATGAACTGTCAGAGTTGCATGAAGTGCTCTGTCCATAGAAACACACAGACTTTTGCAATTGGCAGTTTTCTTTTTCAAGAGAGACCTTCTCCACACCTGGGTTGTACGTTTGTGTTCATTTCGGCACCTGGGGCTGTGTGGATCATGGCTCTTCAGGGCTTGTTTTCATCCATCTCTCTCCTCCATGCCCCAAATCACATCCCAAGCTCCCCAGCTCCCTGTGCAACCATCTTACAGCTGAGTAGAGGATATTAAGTGCCTTCAGATATACTCCATTGGACTCCCTGTCAAGGTACAGAGGCCCCAAGTGAAATCATAGCTTTGGGTATTTATCTAATTTTAAAGAAAAGAGAAGCTGTGGTTATATCATTTTTATTGTTGTTTCTCACAAAACACTTTTTTTGGCTAATGCAACTCCTTGGGTTTTTTATATCTCTCGGAACAATGTTTTACTGTTATCAGACCTTTTGTATGTAACACACAGACATGTGCATGTATCTACCATATGAGACTGCTATAAAGTGCCAGTAAAGCACCACAAGAATGTCTGGGCGAGGGGTGACACACTTTGGGTCGGGCTGGAGGGCGAGTTGTGCCGTGGCTCAGCCTTTAGTTAGGGCAGGAGGAACAGCTGCTGTCGTTCTGTTCTCCTTTCCCGATGCTTTCTGCAGCCTCCATGTGCCATCGTGTGCTTTGGATACACTTCTTTTCCATATAGCCAATGAGTTACTGATCCGTGGGGATGGAAGGAGGGTTGGGACAGTGCCAGCTCTGGGGACAGGTTTCCAGAAGCAGAGGAGAGACCACGGGAGTGCTGCAGTTCAGGGCTCCCGGCTCCGTACGCGGCTCAGTGGGTGAAGGTAGGTGACATCAGTGTCTCTAAGCTGACTGGAGAGAGAGAAAGAGAGAAGCAAAATAAATGTTTTGGGAATGCCTTTATTTATTTATTTATTTTATTCCTGTTTGGTTTTTTTGAGGGGTTTTTCTTATTTCATTTGGGAAGTTTTGCACGCAGAAGGGACCGGGAGAGTTGAATTGTTCGTGGGTTTAACAGGAGTAATAAGACAATGTTTGAGCCTCTTTGAACTACCAACCACTGTGAGGATGTTACCTTAGGCAATATTTGTTTCCAAGCTGGCCACACTTTGGAAGCCACCAAACACAGCTGAGTATCCCAGCTTCCCTCCTGACTGAACCAATGGTGCTGCACAACATTTTTCAGGATTTTTACACACACACACACACACACACACACACACTGTGCTTTTGCAGCAGGGAAAAGAACAGAGTGCTCCCTTCCTGCTGCTGAAAGCAGGAATAGGGAGAAGAGTCCTTGTAGTGAGCTGAGAAGCACAATCATTTCCCAGTCCTGCGGACAGCTCCGTGCAGGTCCCTGGGAGCAGAGGCCTGTGGGAGCCCAGGAGCTGAACTGTGGGACTGGGGGCTTAGGCTGTGCCTGTCTGCCCTCTGCATGCTTCCACCACCTCCCTCTCTGGCATTTGATGCTCTGCTGGGGATCATATTGACCATTCAACTATTCAACTCCCTCTGATACCAAATAAAGTGAAAGGGTTTTTATTCCCAAACAAGTTGGTCAGCCAGGGAAGAGCTGGGGAGGGGTGGTGCTGCACTGGCTGTGTGATGCTGGGGGCTCTTTCCATCTGAACTCGAGTCAGAGTGTATTGATTCTTCCTCCTATCCCCATGTGATTTTGGGGTCTGAGTAATAAATAAATCTGTTGTGGGGTTCCTGTTCAGCTGGTGGAGATCCATCTCCACTCCACAGTCAGCATGGAGCCTGTGAAGCTTTTATCAGATGTGAGTGTGTGGGATTTCTGGATCTCAGTTAAACAGAACTCTGCACACAGGCCCTGCAAAGCTGTTGATTATGCAGGTAGTATCCCATTTGATAGAAAAGCTGTTCAGAATTCATCTTCTTCGCTCAGTCTGCCAGCACACAACAAACCAGGGAATCCTCACCCCCAAATCCCTGTGCCACAAATGTTGTTGCCTGTTTGGAGGCAGTTCCCAATGAGCAACAATGTGAGGTGGTTTTGAGGGCACAGTTTTCCAGCAGCTTCCTTCTCCCTAGGTTACACTTCCCTCCTCCCCATTGTGGGTTGCACTTCCAACTTTCAGGTAGTAATTCTGCAAATACCTCTTGCATCTGAAGAATGTATTCCTGAAACCATTGTTAGGGTTCTTGCTTCAGTTAAGGTGTGTCAATATTCCTTTTCCTACAGTCAGGGAGCTAATGTGATCCAGAATTGTTTACATGCCTTCTAGTGTTATGTTATTGTCTCAGAGTCGTTCCAGCCTTTCTCCCTGTCACTTCTTTCTCCCAGTTTTATAGACTCTGCCTCTCCCTGCTCAGCTGTGTGCAAGGGCAGAGCTCAGTCAGGACACACCAGCTCCTTGAGACGCTGCACAATAACCAAACCTCCACCAGCCCCAGCCCTGCACCCAGGAGAGGTTGGCAGAGGGTGGTTAAACCCGAAAGGAAAAGGTGCTGCTGGACCCAAAGCACCTTCCTCTTCATTGTCCAAGCACTTCAGGATGCAAAATCCTTCTTTAGCCTATAAAGTACATAAGGCTCCTGGTGCTGCTGTGGTGTGGGGCTCTGGGAGTTTCATTGGCACTAAACAAATAAAGGCACTGAGGACAGCAGCGCTGGTGGGCACTGAAATCAAGGGCTGTTGTCTGTACTGGGAACTGCCAGTGATGGTACTCTGCCTTAACTGGATTGGGAAAAGGCTCCTGATGAGTGACCAGTTTGCTCATTGCCAGGACAGCAGCAAGAATCCCACAGCTGGAGCTGCCAGGGGTTAAATCTCTTCAGTGTAATAACCAAACCAAGAAATTCAGTTCTCAATGGATGGTTTGGAGGGGGAGATACCTGTTTGTGTGGTAAACCAGTGTGAGCTGAACCTTCACACCTCCCCTTACGCTTTTGAAGATTTATCCTGACACAGAAATGACTCTGGAGGCGTTTCTAGCAGGGTTGTGTGGCTCTGCTGCAGAATTCCTGACACGTGTGCTGGTGGGAGGCCACAGGCAAAGTTCACTCCATTAAAATGCTTGTGCTGTGTGTGCTGATGGTGCCAGCAGTGCTGTCAGTGAACATGGTGGGGTGGCTGGGTCCCCCGGGATTTATTCAGCAAGGACAATCTGTGTGTGGCTGTGCTTCCAGTCTTTAGGGTGGTTTAATGACACTGATTTAAGATGGTTCAGAGAAGGGGCTGGGGAGATTGCTGAGTGTTCATGAGCCCTGTGTTGCTTTCTGCCACTTGCAGCACCTGCTCTGAAGTGCAGAGTGACAAGCAGTGCACAGAGTATTGTGGGCACTGAGGTCTTAATCTGCTGCTAACACACCAAAATGCTTTTTCCTCCCTGCTGCTCCTGGGAGAGATTTCTCAGTGAGAACCAGGTAAACGGCATTCCTATGGATTAACTTCCAGCATTAGGATTTTGAGGATGGATTTGCCTCTTACTTCCCAGGATTTGGGGCCATTTCCCTTTGCTGGAGGTGACGTGAGCCCTGTGAGCAGAGTGAGACAGTGCCACGGTCTGGCTGCAGCTTCTGCTGTGTCCCAGGAGTGACAAAATGAGGGGAGGAAAGGGTGGATACCCCAAGGGCTTTACACAAAACATAAGTATTTGGATACTCTTCCTTTAGGGCTAAAACACAGAAGGTGCCCAGAGCAAAACTGAAGGGAGCTCCCCATTGTTATAGCAGCTTTAGCTAAAAAGGAGTTTATTCCTCAGTAAAAGGCCAAGTTTTTAGGGTTTCTGGCATTTTAAAATCACTAACTCTGACCTGTTTCTAAAACTTTAATTCTGAATGCAGCAAAAGGTGTTGCAAGGGAGCAGTTAATTCATGTCACAACATCTCAAGAGGCTGAGGGTGCCTGAGGTTGGCTGTAATGCCTTTGGCTGTTTAAATCTGCACCTTAGCTTGGGGGGAGGGGTTCTGCCAAATTTTAAGACCCTGTTTTCTCCCTTCTTCCCTGCTGTGGTCTCCATCTGGATGTTTGCTCCATCTGGATGGGACACACAGGTGGCTGTTGCCTCCTTGCTCCTCACCTTTGGGAACCTGTGTCTTCCTCATTGCACGGCAGCACCTGGGCTGAGGTCACGGCTCCGGGTGCTGCTGCTGGTGCCTCCCTGTTCCTGAGGAAAGAGGAGATTGTGTTTGCTTTGATGTCTTGGTCCATTTTGCCTGGTCACAGCTGCAGCTTCCTCCTCGTGGTGGTGACAGAAGATACAGAAGAAACACATCCCTGCAGTTAAATTCAAGAATTAAATTTAAAAATGCAGTTGTTGTTTATTGATGTGATTTTTCCAGTTGCCGGAAATGCCAGAGGGGTGGTTTGACTGTGAGTACAGAATGATTTGCATGTGGGAACAGCCAAGGTGGAGGTGCAGGGATGACCCAGTGCCTAGGCACTGCCATCTCAGTGCCCAGGCAGCTGTGAAAAGCCAGCTGAAGTCTCAGAGAAATGCTGAGACTTGTCTGGCTGCTTGTGGAACATCAGTTTGGGCAGCAAAGTCATTTGCTCCAATGCTTTTCTCCTTTCATGTTCTCTCTGCAGGATTTAGCAGTCCTTGGTTTGTTTCCTGGGGTAAAACTTGCATCGCTCTTTGCTGTTGCTGAGACTGAACTGTGCAGGCAGTGGCAGTGGGATTCTGCAAAATCCTATCAAAAAGCTGGAATTGGTAACCATTACTCACCAATTCCTGCAGGCCCTGGAGTGGTCTGAGTGCTGCCATGCTCTGAAGGTGTCTTAGGTCAGAGCTGTAGGTGGGACACAGTCCCAAAGTCCAAAGTCCTGCTTTGGATCCATATGGTAATGTGCTTCCAGGTGTGCAATCAGGGAGACAAAGAGAAGGGAATGTGGAATAAGCTGCTGGATGTTGCAAGGGCTGATCTGTATGTCCAGGACTGCAGGAGAGGAAGGTGTCTCAGGTGTGAAGCAGAGTCTTGGCTTCCCAAGCTGTTCTTGTTTTCTGGGAACCAGAAACCCTTAAAATGGGCTGATTTTATTAAAATGTGCATTAA